TCAAGGGTTTACATCTAGTAGACAAGAGTGCCTGAAGAACTATGGACAGAGGGTCACAACATTGTACAAGCAGTGACCAAAACCATCCCAAAGAAAAAGAAATGCAAGAAGGCAAAGTGGTTGTCTGAGGAAGCTTTACAAATAGCTGAGAAAAGTAGAGAAGCAAAAAGCAAGGGAGAAAGGGAAAGATACTATTGAAAGCAGAGTTTCAAAGAATAGCAAGGAGAGATAAGATGGCCTTCTTCAAGGAACAATGCAAAGAAATAGGGAAAAACAATAGAATGGGAAAGACTTAAGAGGCCTCTTCAAGAAAATTGGAGCTACCAAAGGAACATTTCATGCAAGGATGGGTACAATAAAAGACAAACTTTAAGGACCTAACAGAGGCAGAAGATATTGAGAAGAGGTGGCAAGAATACACAGAACTATACAAAAAGGTCTTAATGACCCAGATAATCATGATGGTATGATCACTCACCTAAGGCCAGACATCCTGGAGTGTGAAGTGGGCCTTAGGAAGCATTACTACCAACAAAGCTAGTGTAGGTGGATGGGATTCCACCTGAGCTCTTTCAAATCCTAAAACATGATGCTGTTAAAGTGCCGCACTCAAATGTGTCAGCAAATGTGGAACTCAACAGGGGCCACAGGACTGGAAAAGGTTAGTTTTCATCCCAATTCCAAAGAAGGATAGTGCTAAAGAATGTTCAAACTACCAGACAATTGTGCTCATTTCCTATTCCAGTAAGGTTATGCTCAAAACCCTTCAAGCTAGGCTTCAGCAGAACCTGAATCAAGAACTTCCAGAGTACAACCTGGGTTTAGAAAAAGCAGAAGAACCAGAGATCAAATTGCCAACTTCTGTTGGATCATAGAGAAAGCAAGGGAATTCTAGAAAAACATCTACTTCTGCTTCATTGACTGCACTAAAGCCTTTGACTGTGTGGATCACACCAAACTACGGAAAATTCTTAAAGAGATGGGAATACCAAACTATTGTTTGTCTCCTGAGAATCCTGTACGTGGGTCAAGAAGCGACAGTTAAAACTGGACATGGAACAACAGACGGGTCCCAAATTGGGAAAGTAGTACATCAAGCCTGTATATTGTCACCCTGTTTATTTAACTTATATACCGAGTACATCATGCAAAATGCTGGGCTGGATGAAGCTTAGCTGGAATCAAGATTGCCAGGAGAAATATCAACAATCTCAGATACACAGACGATCCCACTCTAATGGCAGAAAGTGAAGAGAACTAAAGAGCCTCTCAATGGAGGTAAAAGAGGAGAGCAGAAAGTTGGCTTGAAACCGAACATTTAAAAAACTAAGATCATGGCATCCGGTCCCATCATTTCATGGAAAATAGAAGGGGGAAAACGTGGAAGCAGTTACAGATTTTCTCTTCTTGGGATCCAAAATCGCTGCAGATGGTGACTACAGCCATGAAATCAGAAGATGCTGCTTGTTGGAAGGAAAGCTATGACAAACCTAGATAGCATATAAAAAGCAAAGGCATCACTTTGCCGACAAAGGTCTGCATAGTCAAAGCTATGGTCTTTCCAGTAGTCATGTACTGATGTGAGGGTTGGACTAGAAAGAAGGCTAAGCACTGAGGAATTGCTTTTGAAGACTCTTGAGAGTCAAAAAAAAAAAAGACTCTTGAGAGTCCCTTGGACTGCAAGGAGATCCAACCAGTCAATCCTAAAGGAAATCAGTCCTGAATATTCATTGGAAGGATTGATGCTGAAGCTGAAGTTCCAATACTTTGGCCATCTGATGTGAAGAGCTGACTCATTGGAAAAGACCCTGATGCTGGGAAAGATTGAAGGCAGGAGGAGCAGGGTATGACAAAGGATGAGATGGTTGGATGGCATCACCGACTCAAAGGACATGAGTTTGAGCAAACTCCGGGAGATGGTGAAGGACAGGGAGGACTGGGGTGCTGCAGTCCATGGGGTCACAAAGAGTCAGACATGATGAGTGACTGAATAACAACAACCCCCAGTGAAATATTAGTGATATTATTTGGAGGTGAGGCTCTTGGGAGGTAATTAAATTTGGATGAGATCAAGAGGGTGAGGCCCTATCATGGGATTAGCATCCATATAAGACAGAGAGAGAACAGGGCTTGCTCTCTGCCATGTGAGGACACAGTGAGAAGGCAGCTGGTGGCAAGCCAAGAGAACTCAAGCAGGGAACTGAATCTGCTGACCCCTTGATCTCGGATTTCCTAGCCTCCAGAACTGTGAGAAATAAATTCCTGTTTTCACCTCACCCCTCTATGGTATATTGTTATGATAGCCCAAGAAGACTAAGACATCTGCTAAGATTTAACACTATTAAATGGTGCCAGGAAGTCAAGCAAGATAAGAACTAAGATGCTACTGTTGCTAGTGAGTTTAAGGTTCTTGCTTCCTTGTGAAAGAATTTGGAAACGAAGTGATAGATAAGAAGTGAATTTATTTAGACAGAAACACATCCCACAGAGTGTAGGCCATCTGGAAAGGCAAGAGAGAGGAAGAGGAGAAGGGGAGGCAGAGTTTTGAAATATTGATGCCAAAAGCTCAACTTCTCTGTACACCGGTGCTGAATCAAATCACAGAGGGTTTGGGGTGAAGTAGGAAAAAGTAGCTATATTACTTTGCCAGGAAAAGGGGGGCCACAGTGGGCTAATGCCCTCAAACTATGTGTTTCGACTTGGGGAAAGTAAAAGTTTTATAGTAATTGTTCAAACACTGTGTACATTCTTCTGATAGGTTGATGGTGAAGTAAGTTGGAGACAGCAGCATCAACCTAGATGGCCAGCTGATGCCAAGCAGGGCCCTGTGGGGTTCCTGGGCATGGAGGTCCTTTTGTCCCCATATCTTATAGGTAAGACTCCAGCCTTCATGACCTTCTCTCAATTCCAAACAGCAGAACAGTTGCTAATCAAAGGAGAAACAGCAACAAAACCACCTGAAGCAAGATTAAAGGACCAGAGAGGCTCCTCAAGATTAGGAGACTAGACCACCTAAGACCCTGCACACACCCTAACCTTATCAGCAAACCCACCCTTTTGAAACTTTGCAGAAGAAAGAATAGACTATTACTACTTTGATCCTTATCACATACTCTTGCTGACTATATAATCTTTTCCTGCTCACCAGGGACGGGGCACAATTCTTGAGTCCCTAGCCTACTGTGTTCCCCCTTTGCCTAGCAAATAGAGCCACCCTTTCCTTCTCCGCCATAATTGTGATACTTGTGTCTCCATATTTCTGTTTGGCATTGGTGCACACAGAGCCAAGATTTTGGCAACACTACTGGTCTGAGGTCTACATCCTTGGGGGCAGCATACCATGTTAATCTTCCTTACATTCTCCCACCTTGAGGGGGTTTCAGTATCTGTAACATAGCTCAAAGATAGTATTGTGTGTATCCTTTGATAGAGAAACAGGACCTTGCCATAAGGCTGCTCTTGACTGTTTTGTTTCTCCCCGGTATCGAAACCCCTCCCTTATCTAATTAACAACTGCTTGAATCGGCCCATTGGAACTCAGGGAGGGTGATGGAGGCTGAATGAAGGCTGTTTCCTATAATCAAAGAAGTGGGGGACACAGAACAACTTTGTGCTCAGGAGCCCCCACTGACCCCTGCATGTTATCAATGTTGGTTTTTATGGGCTTAGTAATTTCATAGGCTAATGAGTGGGAGAATTATCCATTTGAGGGCGGGGAGAGCAGGCAGGGATTTCCAGGAATCAAGCCACCACCCACTTTTTGGCCTTTTATGGTTAGCCACAGAACTGTCATGGTACTGGTGGGTATATCATTTAGCATATGCTAATATATGGTTGAGCATATGATGAGGCTCAAGGTCTACTGGAAGTCGACTCTTCCACCATCTTGGACCTAGCTGGTTCTAATCAGTCTTTGTCAGGTCTTATGGCTAATGGACTACAGTCCATGGGGTCCTAAGGGTGGGACACCACTTAGCGACTAAACCACCAACACTGGCAACATCTTCTCCCCTCTTATTTCACTACCAAGGAATTTAATAATGAGTTTGTTAGAGACCCTGGTAAGAATAGTTTCTCTGGATTGGTGGGAGTGAGGAATAGAAAATGCACATTATCCAGAAGTGGGTCTGAAATGGAAAGGAGAGGCAGAGGAAACAGGAGAGATCTGAGCATACCTGTGGGTGACTAGAAAAAAGCCCAGGGTCCACCCTGGTCTATAAAATGGCTCGAAGTGGTTTACAATAAAAATAAACCCATTCACCCCAGAGTTTCTCATGGGGTTCCTCCTCTTGAGTACTCCAGGCCCATTTCTCCTGCTTTTCCTCCTTGTGTTACACCCTGGAAACTTTGGGTCACCGAGGGTCACAGGACAAAGTGGTCAGGTCTAAACACTGATTCCCTGCCCCCGCTGGCTTCACCAGGATGCCAAGAGCCTCCAAGAGAGCAGAACCCCTGGGAGCCAGGCAGCAGCCAACAGAAGGTAGACAGTACTGAATCAGGGACCTGGGTTCCAATCCCGCCTCTGCCACTCCATAACCTACCATCCCATAGCAATTCCTCTCGGAGATCATGAGGGATGCCCAGGAAGCATACCACCTGGGGTTGAATGCAGGCTGCGCCACACACCAAGGTGCGACTAGGGCCTCAGTTTTCCCTACCAAGGGGCACTGTTGCAAGGGGTAACCTAAAACAGTCTTGAGCTAACCCCCTAACAGCAAGTATTCGGTAGATGCCAGTGTAACCACGTCTTGTCCAGCCCAGGCACAGCCTCTCGCTCCACACCGCACCTAGCGGAGTGGGCGGGAGGACCCAGCGCTCCGGGCCGCGCCCCACTGCTCCCGCCTCCTGTCGCGACAGCGGCGGTGCATTGTGGGGCTTGTAGTGCGGGGCTGGGCTGGTTGGGTGGGTGGGCGCGGCCGAGGCAGTCGCAGCGGGGCCATCTTCGGCAGGCCGGCTGGCTCGGCCTGTGCAACCGGCACTCGCGCCCCTCGCCCGCCCCGATGGCGCCGCGGCCGCTGAGCCCCTTGGTGCTGGCGCTGGGTGGCGCGGCGGCCGTGCTCGGCTCGGTGCTCTTCATCCTCTGGAAGACCTACTTCGGCAGCGGACGGGAGCGGCGCTGGGACGGAGGCGAGGCCTGGTGGGGCGCTGAGCCGGCCGGCCTTCCACAGTGGGACGAGTGGGACGTGAGTGCCCGAGGAGGGTCGGCGCCTCCGCGCGTGCAGCCGAGGGGGTGTGACCGCCGCCCTGCGAGTTGGGAGCTTGGCGCCACAGGCGCCGCGCTGGTGGGCGCGTGGCGGGCGACTGGGAGTCCCGGAACCCTGGAGCCGGTGGGCGTTTGGGGGCATGTGCTGTGCTGCGCCGCTGTAGGCCTCCGGCTTACTCACCGGGGCTGGGGCCGGGGCGCGAGCGCGCGGCCGAGGAACGCTGTCCCGCCCGCGCCGGGTGCAGCCCGTGTTCGCCTGGCGCCTGCGTTGTGCGTCCAACCCGGGATGCCCTCCGCCCACTCCCCGCGTCCTGCCGCTGTTTGGCTTGTTAGCGCGATTCGGCGCGTCCTGCCTCCGTGGAGTGAGGAGGGATTGTCAGTCTAAGGAGGCTGAGGCTCCGCGAAGGGAAGGAATTTGCCCGAGGTCAGCCAGGGAAAGCCAGAAGAACGGCTTTGGGAAATTCCGGACTCTTGGCAGCGTTCGTCCCTGTGCACCAGAGCGGGCCTGGCAGTCCCTTGATGGCGGGAGGGCGGGGATGTGCGCTTTGGGCTTTCGGTCTTCCCTGCGGGAAGGGTGAGGCGGGAGGGTGCCGATCGCAACCTGACCCATGCTCCGCAGCCCGAGGACGAGGAGGACGTGGAGCCGGCGCTGGAGGAGCTGGAGCAGCGCGAGGTGTTGGTGCTGGGGCTGGACGGCTCCGGGAAAAGCACATTCCTGCGCGTGCTGGCGGGGAAGCCACCGCTGGAAGGCCACATCCCCACCTGGGGCTTCAACTCCGTGCGGCTGCCCACCAGGGACTTCGAGGTGGACCTGCTGGAGAGTGAGCAGACACCCCCCCTCACCCGTCTCCCCCGTCATCTCAGCTGGACCCACGTTGGGGCTTGTTATCTAAGCAGGACGCGCCCCTGTAGAAAATCCTTCCCATGTGTCCCTGAGGCACAGAATGGAGTCCAGCACCGCTCTGTTCTCTGGTTTGGTCGCCGCCTGTCCGTCACCCTTACTGCAGCCCAAGTGCCTAACCCTGATACACTCACAGCTGAAGTTTACTGTATGCCAAGCACTTGACAGACAGCACTTTAAAAAACCCTCCCAACAACTCCATAAAACTGGAAAGAGTTATTAAAAAAAAAAAAAAAAACTGGAAAGAGTTATTACCTTCATTATATATGTCCTGCATGAGGCAGTGAGGCCCAGAAAGTTAAATAATTTATCTAGGCTCTGGCACCTTGCCAGTCTGTTAATGCTGTCTGGCTCTGCTCGATGTTAAGCACCCTGTACATTGCTTGTTTCTGAAGTGAGTGAGAGTCGCTCAGTCGTGTCCGACTTAGGATCCCATAGGACCTCATGGACTGTGTAGCCTGCCAGTCTTCTCAATCCATGGAATTCTCCAGGGTTTCTGAAGGGTGCTTCAGAAGGGTTTCTGAGGGGTTTTCTTTCTTATCATCTGTGCTTTGCATGCACTGTTCTTCCCTTTATGAACTGCTGTTCATCCTTCAAGGTTTAGGTCAAAGGTGATATCCCTTGAAGCCTTATCTGACCCCCAGGCTACCTTAAGAGTTCTTCCTTCTGCCCTGACTGGGCATCTGGGGCACAGATAAATCTGATCCAGCTCTGGCCCCTAGGACCCAGCCCCAATCAGGCACCTGGAAGAGCTTGTTAAGTGAGTGATCAAAGGAGAATCTGAGTAGCCTCCTGCCCTCAATGTTAAGGCTTCTTGGGATCTCAGGAGAGGATAGGAGAGAGGGTATTGAGAAGGCAGCAGTACTTTACTACCTGTGTCCAGGTAGAGGGACAGGTAGATTTCTGCCAGTCATAGGACTCAGATCATAAAGACTCAGTGGGTTTAGTTAAGTGCCAAACTGGTGGGATCAGACTCAAGGCCTGGCCGTTGGCCTGAATGGGCCCAGTTCCTCGGGTCTCAGGACCTTGCCTGCTAGCCTGCCCTGGCTACATCTTTCCTCCCTGACTGTAGCAAACATTGATATTTACCTGAGATTCAGTCCTTGCAGCATGCTTTCCATGTCTCCATCTCATGCCTGGGACACAGAAGGTTCAGATGGGGGTTCCTCAGTTGAGGCCTACTCTGTCTGGCAAAGACAGTATCCAGGCTCAATGAGGTCACTGAACCTGGATTCAAACCCGGATCTCCTATTCAAGTCTGGGGCCTTTCCCCTGCCACAACACTCAGTTTGCTGTGGTCGCCTACATTGCTTGGCCTGGAGCCTGGCTGAGAATGAGCCCTTTGTGGATCTTTGACTTTTCCCTCCCCTCCCCGCCCCCCACCCACCCACCCCCTGTGTCCATTTTATTAGCTAGTTCTGTCAGCTTTATTCTCCAGTAGAGTTTGCATCTGTCCATTCACCTCCATCTCTTCCTGTCCCAATCCACCGTCACCTATCAGAACTACAACAGTCTCCTTGCTGGTCTTCCTGATTCCACTTCTGTCCTCAATGGTGACCAGCAGCATCTTTCAGAAATCCATATCACTTCATGTCATTCTTGCTTAAAATGTTTAAGGGGCTCCCCACGGCCTCACTGTGGCCTTACAGGCCCTGGGTGGTCCAGCCCTGGCCATCCCTACTGGTTGTGGCTCCTTCTCCCTCTTTGGCGGCGCCTCAGCCACCCTGAATGCCTTCTGTTTCTTGAACACATGGATCTTGCCCTGCCTGGTGCCTATAACAGTTTTCTCTGCCTCTTTTCATGACCAGCTCCTTGTCATCAGCTCACGTGCCACCTCCTTAGGCCACCTTCTCAGACCACCCAATCCAAAGCTACCAGCAGACAGCACCCCCACCCCGCCCCACCACTTGCACTTTTCCTGTTTCATTTCCTTCCTTTGTGGAGTGTGTTTTGTGTTACTGCTGTGTTGGCCCTGGTTACAGAGGGAGCTCCTTGAGAGCAGGGCCCCCTGCCTGCCTTGCTGACCTCTGTGTCCCCAGCACCCAGATCAGTGCTTGGCACCTAGTAAGTACTCAGTATATACTTGTTGAGTGCCTGCTATGTGCCAGGCATTGTGCTGAGGGCTTTGGGGGGATCCAGAGATACATAGCTCTAACTCTCAAAGAGCTGAGTCCACAAGTGTCAGAAGTCTAATCAGAAACACTAGGATGCGGGGGTGACCATTGAGGACTTTGCAGAGGGACACAGAGGAACAGGAATGCAACCCAGGTTGGGGGAGGTGCAACTTGGACAGCCACATGGTGGCAGGATTGAGTATGGCCTTTCCAAGGAAGGAAAGTGGGGCAACCAGACTGAACAAGAAAAACTGAGTGGAGAATGGCTGTTCTCAGGCAACACAGGGGGTCCTGGGTGCTGACCACAGCCACTGACCTGAGAGGAAGCTAGGGATTGGGAGGAGGCAGGACAGCCCAGGAGGAAGAACTAGAGTATTATGTATTGAGGACATGCTATCCCCAGTCCTGTGAAAGGTACATTGTGTATGATACTTTGGGGTTTTGCTGCAACCTGTTAGGTAAGTTCAGTGAGGAGGAGACTAATGCCCAGAGGTGTCGACCTGCTCAGGGAGATACAGCTGTCAGAGCTAGAGCTGCACCCAGGTCCGATTGGCTCAGGAACCCATGGACTTTCCCTTGCTAGAGCTGCACCCAGGTCCGATTGGCTCAGGAACCCATGGACTTTCCCTTGCTCCACTGGCCAGTGGAGCCTTGGGAGACTGGAAGTGAGGTGGGGGTGGGCTGTGAGTAGAGAGCCGGGCCCAGGGAGGCTCTGAGCTGGCCCCTGGCCTCTCCTCAGTCGGTGGCAGCCAGAATCTGCGCTTCTACTGGAAGGAGTTTGTGAATGAAGTGGACGTGCTGGTGTTCATGGTGGACTCGGCTGACCGGCTGCGGCTGCCGTGGGCCCGACAGGAGCTGCACAAGCTGCTAGACAAGGACCCTGACCTGCCTGTTGTGGTGGTGGCCAACAAGCAGGTGAGGGCCGTGGGAGGCTGGCCAAGGTCGGCTGGGCTTGATCCACGATGCCTGGGGCCGGGAGCACCAGAGAGGGATTCGGGCCTAGACCCATGGCCTGCAGCACACAGCTGATACTGGCACCCCCACTGCTACCTGTGCTGTGTCCTCATTCCTCATCCCTCATCCTCTCTGCCTGCCTCTCTGCCTCCCTGTCGTCATCCTGGAAGAATGAGAAAAATAATTTCTCTGTGTCTACTGTGTCTGAGGTGTGTTTTCAAATAATATTTCATCTGATGTTTCTATTCACTCTGTAAGATATGGGATACTGTTTCCATTTTACAGACAGGGAATCTGAAGCTCAGAGAGAGTTTGTACACCTTGAAAATAGTAAATTGGGAAGTCGTACTCCAGTTGCACCTTTTCCACTCTGATATGTCCTTAATGATGTCTGACTCTAGATCAGAGAGCTATAGCTGGGAAGTGGTAAGAAGTTAACAAGTTAAATAATAATAACTAATATTTACTGTGTGCTCACAGCATGCTAAGCACACTGTAATCATGACCTCGCTATAGGCCTTGACGTTAGCCCAAAGTTACAGCTGCTATGTGGCAAAGCCAGGTCTTGAGCTCAGATCCTCAAATTTCCTGCTCTTCACTCTATGCTATATACATCTCCTGGCCCAGTAACTCTTGGCATCACATACGTATGGTGCCATTCTCTGCCACAGCAGAGTCCTGTTGTGTTTCAGGTGGCGTGGGCCCTTGACCCTGAGAGCTGTGTGACCTGTTTCCAGCCTGGCTTGGAGACATGCTGTCTGTCTTAGACCTCAGGTTTCCCCTGCCTATCAAGAAATACCTGGCACAATTATAAACAGGGTAACCTTAGGTTCTGGTCTGCCTGGACAGGCCCCAGCTATGCCTGTTGCTCTGATATAACTATACTAGCTCCTACTTTGAGTCTCAGACGTGACCCAGTTTGGACAATGAATCATGTCATCATCTTATATATAAACTATGATTTATAGTGATTTTGAACTTTACAGGAGACAGCACCTAAGGTCCCATCATTCTATGAACTGCTTCAAGAAGAAACCTTTTAATCTTGGGCCAGGCTTGAAATTAAATGTACCATCACCAGCCATGTTGAGTAGTGGCCCCTGTTTTTTCCTCAGCAGGTTTCTAGGAATCTAGGGGAGATGAGGCCTCTGTCTGAAAGTGACCTTACCATAAGATCTCTCCACCACTGAATTTAGGAAACTGAGCTAAGAGTTCTATAAAGATCATAAACTTGGTCATCAAACCAACCTGGGTTTGAAACCTGGCTCTGCCACATATCACTGTTTTCCTTTGCTAAATGGTATCACCTCCCTGAGCTGATTTCCCCATCAGTTTAGTATGGACAGTGAGTTAAATAAGGTAACTACCTATCACAATGCCTGACTTAGAGGACGTGCTGTTTCTTAGCACAGTGGCTGTGGGTGAGAATGAGGGGATGGAAAGAAGTTGATACCAAGGAAAGGCAGAGATGAGGAAGTGAGTTTAGACCAACTGACCAAGAGAGAACTTAGGCCCCAGTGTTTCCTCCCAGGGAGCCGTTGAACAGTTTATTTCACAGATGACAAGGGTGGGTTGTTGGGACACACTCTGAGTCCAGCCTGACGTCTCCGTTTCATCCCAGGACCTGAGTGAAGCCATGAGTATGGTGGAGCTGCAGCAGGAGCTGGGTCTGCAGGCCGTCGACAGCCAGCGGGAAGTTTTCCTCTTGGCGGCCAGCATCGCCCCTGCAGGAACCAGCTTTGAAAATCCAGGCACGGTGCACATCTGGAAACTGCTCCTGGAGCTTCTCTCCTAGGCCGGCGCTCACCCGCTCACCAGCCAGCCCTGGGGACCCCAGCTCCGCTCCTCCTGCCTCTTCATCTCCAGCCGGGGCCTGGGGCACGGGCCACATAGCATCACTCCCCTTCTCCCCTCCTCACCCTCGAGAGCAGGCCAGGGTGAGGCCAGGAACCACACAGAAGCCCTCTTGGCGAGCTAGCCATGAGGCTGAAGCAGGGAGGCAGCTGAGGCCAAGGCTGGGAGATGGCAGTGTCTCGCTTATTCTGAGCAGCAAGCGGATCCCACTTTAACCAGGGAAGGCGGCCTCATCCTCTGACCTCTACAGCGAGCTGCTCAGCAGGCTCCAGTCTCCCCGCCCTGCTGGTCCCAGGGGGTGAGGACTGGTGTAGGTGTCCAAAGTACGCCCTAACCCTAGACTGATCCCTCCTGGTGATTTTGCACCCTCTTGTGTGGGCAGGTTCTGGGCCGTAAGCCATGGGCCTAGACTCCCTGTCCTGCCTTATCCTCCAACCCCAGTTGGCTCGTGGCCTTGTGCAATCCCTGCCTCTCTGGGCCATCCCTTTTGAAGAGGGGTGATTTAGATGGTAGCTTTCTAACCGAGCCATGAAGATAGGAAGCTTGAGGAGGAATCTAGAGATCCTGGCAAGGAGCTTCCTGAAACCTCCCTGCTTTCCCAAGGTTGAGGTCCAGCCCGTTAACCTCTTAAATACAGAGCAAGTGGTCTTCACCCCCTAATCAGAGAAACTGAAACCCACACCCACCCCAGTCTGGAGTCAGAAGCTGCTACTCTTAACACTTAACTGTACCAATGCCCATGTTTACATAAGTCTGGGGAAGGAAGGAGCCTGCCTGTGTTCCTGGGAAAACTTGTCAGGGGAACAGGATGTTGGCCTCCAGACTGCATGTAATTATTTATTTATTTATAAAAGGAACAGGCCCAAGTTTTAGGCTCTGTTTCTAGGTGCTGTTATCCAAACCCCAGATGACTGTCATGGAAAATTTGGATCTTTGAGGATAATAGCTGGAATCATGAATGACAGTGTGGTAAGCTACGTGTGTCAATGGAGACAGAGCTCTCGCTCCCCCGACCCTTTGTGGCTATACTTGATGTCATAGAATTTCACGATGACCCACATGAACTTGAACTCCAGCACTTGGCCTAATACGTCAAGGGACACAAACTCTGTAGAGGTAACAAATGACTCTGGGAGAGGCAATTTCATCATAGTTACTCTTAAAAAGAAGTAAGAATGAGCAGACCAACCGATGGGTATCCTTGAGTATATCGCACAGCCTTCCTGGACCTGCTGATTGTGCAGCTCAGGCAAAGCTGGACAGAGTAGCTGGTGTCCTCTCCAGCACACATTCCACAATTCTCCCGTTTCCAGTGATCAGCCAGTTAAAGACTGTCTGTATTGACTCTTCAATGCAGGCAGAAGGAACCTTTTGTCTGTCAAGAGGCCACTGAACAGTCAGCAGCCACAAATGGGCCTTTTTTTGAGGAGGTAACCAACTTAGTTTGCTTTTTAATTGAGAATAGAGATCATGTGCCTTTGTTTCATTTGACATTTACTCAGCGTGCTACAGTTTCATACTGTGGCGGGTGCAAGAAGGGCGGGCCGGGAAGGTGTCTCAGAATAGAATCACTTTTCTTTGAAATTCCGATTAACTTTGTCTTAAGAAGTGATTTGGCTGATTTTATTTTAAATATTTTGGGAATGACCTGGGTTTTAGAGTAGTCTTTGAAACTGCTGGCACTTCATTTTGCTGGCAGAAGTTAAGACTTGACTTCTCTGTTCTGTGAACTTCACCTTGTCCTCTAGTGTTAATACTTGAAAGTCACTCTTGGAGAGGGGCGCCCTTTTCTACTAATTAAGATCTGCCTTTGGTCTAATGCATGTCACTATGTAGGACAGGTTTTAAAGTCCCCGCTGTCAGGAGGGGAACTTGAATAGAGTTACGTACTTGAGCAGCTTTCAAAGACCAGTCTCAGAACCAGCAGGTCCCAGGGCACACCAGAAGACACCACTGAGGAGCACCGAAGGTCCAGGGTACCTGTAGAGACTGGATGGACGTCCTGTTGGCTTGTGGGTGTGCTCATGTCTGTGGCTGACAGCAGCACTCAGCTGGCCTGGCCTCCAAGCGGGGTGCCAGACACTACTTGTGTTCTGGTTCCTACCAGGACCAGACTGGGCAAGGCCGGGGAAGGGCCTTTATTAAGAACAGCTAACTACCTTGTGCTCTCACATAGTTGTTCCTGAATGTGACTTTGGTTCAAAGGCCTAAATGACTGCTTTGGGAAAACTGTTCATCTCCAAGTGCAGTTCCACGTTTTCCCCTCTGCCCCACCTGAGCTTGGGAATAGTGAATGGATGGCTGGGCAGCTCTTGTACTCTCGTGAAGACCATACAATGCCCACTCAAGCTTGGGAAGGAAGCTCATGCGTCTACATGCTGGTTGAACCTATGAATCACACACCCTGACACTGGGAGCTTCTGTTCTTAAGGTTTGAATGAAATCATGGCTTCTGACCTGCTACTGTCCTTCTGAAAAGACGTCAGCCTGGCCCAGAGCCTGGACATGTGGATGGTCTAGGCAAGAGGGCTCTTGAGGCTGCTGGGACCACCACCTTGGACCAGCTGCCTATCCCAAGAAGCCTCCTTTAGCACCTCCTGGTGCTGAGAACCATCCACTGTAAGCTTGTGCCAACACAGTGGTATCCAGCTGTGAGGACTGGAGAGGAGGCGAAGTTGGTTCCTCAGGGCCTCCGGACCCTCCTCAGAAAGCTGGTGAAAAATTTCACAACTCGAGTGTGTCTGAATGAGACCCTAGATTCTCCAGAAGAATGTTTCCACTTGCCTTTGGAAAATATTTTTTTCTTAGGCTAGTTTAGTAGCAACTGCCAGCATCTCAAACCAGCCGCTGAAACGGTCTGTGGTGTCTATTCTTGTTCTCTCACAGCTGCCCCAGACCTCAGACCTGCATGGTCAGCAGCCTGCCTCTCACCCTCGCCGTCTGCTGTCACATTCTCCAAGTCTTCTCTAGTAACTATTTAAAGGGAAACCTCCAGCTTTCACTGCTGCCTCCTTCTCCTTATGGAGATGGGCCCATAAAGGGACAAGGGGAAGATTGTCATCAAAGGTGTGAAGTAAAGGAGCCTTGCTGTCCCAGCCCATGCCCTGTGAACCCAGGCCCACAAACTGCATAAAATGGAGTGTTGGTGGCTGTGTACAATAAATGCCAAAAATTCGGTGGTGGTTTCATATAAATTCTGATTTTGAGGAACAATCGTGTTTGGTGCTTAACTGTCCCAGGGAGGGACAGCTATGGAGGGTGGTCCCAGGACACTTCCCACAGCAAATCTCAATCCCTTCACTCCACATTGGAGTGGGTGGGTACATCAGCTTTGGCCTAACAGTACTTTTGGGGAGATACCCAAACCCTTGTAGGAGTTCTAGCTGACAGGGCCAGAGCTAAGCATGAAAATGGAAGTGAGAACTTTTTAATTGTAGCAATGCTATTTTTTAATTTAGTTGAAATTTAATTGCTTTACAGAATTGGAGAACAGCTTTGACTGCCTTTACACCAGAGGTCAGAATGGAGATGGCACCATTCCACAAGTGTCCCCCCAACACCTGCCCTTGGGCTGGGCTCTCTGGTTCCCTCACGAGGTCCCTGCACTCAAGCCCAGTCTGGTAGGGGATGTCCAACCAGACTAAAAGACAGTTACTGGCACTGGCTACAGGAAGCTGGGGCTGTGGGGACTCCAGAACACTGACACAGCCTAGGGGCAGAGGAAAGTGGTATGGAAGGCTCCCCCAAAGCCCTATGGTATGGCAGCTGAACTGGATGAAGAAGCAAGGTTGAGGGCCTGGCCCAGTCACAGGCCTGATTTCAGAATGCTCTGAAGGACTTGCATTCCTAAAGCCTGTGCTCACGGTGACAGTCACTGCTGGAGTCCAGCAAGCCGGGTCCAGTGGGCAGGTTTCTGTCCAGTGTCCAGCCTGCCTCAGTGGTGTGAGACGGGCTGCCTCAGTGGCCGAAGAGAGGGCCAGCAAGGGAAAGTCTAGGCTTAGTCACTGGACAGGCTGACCAAACCCCAGGTTAATGCCTCTCAATCCTGCTTCCTTATCTGCAAGAAAATAAAAGCACACAACTGTGTGGGTTTTATGTGAAATGTTCTATGTAAAAACACTTAAGTCCTTCTCTTCTAGAGTAGTGAGGGGAGACAAATTTTATGTGATTTCAGGAGAAACCTCGGGAACCAGGGGGCTTTTGTATTATTAATACCTGACGATAATGAATCAAGAGAAGAAAATGCCCAGCACCCACCTCACACCATGACTATAATCCTGCTACATACCATTCATGCCACCAAATAACACAGGCCGGGCCCGAAGGAATGCCATGCAGTGTGTAGCCGAGGACTTTGTACACAGCAGAGTTGCATTCAGCAGTCCAACAGGCATCTCAGAAAGCAGGTTTGGGGACCTCAGATTCAAAAGACATGCCGCAAAGGCAGGTCACTTGAAGGCAGATCAGGAAGCAGCTGCAAAGCATCTTCTCTGCTGGCGCTTGAGCCACAGCTGGCTTCAGACCAGGGCACAAAAAACCCGTCCACCAGCCCCCAGCCTGGGGTGGGGCCAGCACTGGAGGCCCCTCCCAAGCAGCCCAGGCTCCACAGAAGTATTAGTCAGCTCAGATGGTAACCTGCCTGCAGTACAGGAGACCCAGGGTGTATTCCTGGGTCAGGAAGATACCTGGAGAAGGGAGTGACTGCCCACTCCAGTATTTTGTCTGGAGAATCCCATGAACTAGAGGAGCCTAGCAGACTACAGTCCACGAGTCACAAAGTCAGACATGACTAAGTGAGTGAATCACTTTTCTATATAAGTGATAGTGGAACTGCTATTCAGGAAACCAAGGTAGCAAGCAGTAGAACCAGAACAGGGGAGAAAAGGGAGGGCAGCTGTGCCTAGGAGGGTACATGAATGTGCAAAGGACTGAATGGCCTCTTTACTTTGGTTGAGGAGCTTATTGAAGGGGCAGCCCCAGGGCTTGGCTGGGAGGGAAAATATAAAACTGTCAGAGAAGTAAAAATAACTATTTTATTGCACACAGACTATATTCAAACAAACTGCCCACTCAGAAAACAGCAGGTTCTGGCTTTTCCCAGAACCCCCAGAAGAATATAGATTGGAGCCTGTGGGAGACAGTATCTTCTCCAAAGTGAAATGTGAGAGAGATTGTGTGTGTCTGTGTGTGTGTGTGCGCACACACACGCATTGTAACCTTTTGATTCCACGGGGTTTGGCTGGCCTCATGTGTAGATGCACACCCCTCCTTGCTTCTCTGGTCCAGGAGGAAGCCTCATCCTGGGGCAGGCATAAACCAGTCACTCAACCTCCATTTTATTCTTTTGCAAAGAATCAGTGAAGGCTTGCCACTCTGCTGGGTAAAAACGCTTGTACACGTTGATCTTATTCCGAATCTGTTTTGGGGTATCTTGATAGTAATTCTTCTCGTCCCGGGCCATAGCCTAAGGAAGGAAAAGGGCCACTTGAATGAAGAAGGCTGGACAGGCAAAATTCAAATCCCTAGCCCTGAGCTGGGCAAGGTACTGCCCATCCCTGAGATTCAGATTCCTCATATCAAAAGTCATAGTGTATGTGGGAAAATGGGTACAGGTGCCCTCAGGGACTAGGCAGGAGCTGAGACCAGCTGAGTAGCTCATTCTTCATCCATCACCAACTGATCCCACCTGGGCACAGGGGTCCAGTGTAGCCAGATCTTTCCATTTTTAAGAGAAGCCAAAAAAATAAGGACTTTTACTTGAAACCTCCCATAATGAAAATGGGAGTTAACCCCTGAACAGCAGTTAACTCTTGAACAGCACAGATGTGAACTGCATGGGTCCACTTATAATGGGTATTTTTCAGGAGTAAATACTATAGCACTACATGGTCCATGGTTGGTTGAATCCTTAGATTTGAGGAACTGCAGACTTGGAAGACCAACTGTAAATTAAACACAGGTTAACTCTCAAGTTGTCCAAAGGTCACTTGCAGTTCATTAAAAATACCACGTGAGCAAACAATATATATTTATGAGTGGGATACGCACCATAGGCTACTTAGTCCACCCAATTATAAGCATTCTGTGAAAGGGATCCATTTCCTAGGGTATCTCTCTTTGTTTCCACTCAATCTCAGGAAACAGGCACTAGCCAAGCAGATCAGACCCCAAATGGTCCAGGGTACCTTCTCCAAGGGCCCAAGTGGTTCCTCCTGCCAGGCTTGAAACACTTACCTTATAGTTCTCCCCATGGTTCTCCACCATGTAGCGAACATAGTCAATGAGATCTCGCGACAGTGTATTTCCTTTCTTTTCTGGAAGGCTGGCTTCTGCCTCCAGGTCTGGGTTGAGAGAAGCCAAGAGACAGGGAATGAAGCTTTGCTTCCTGCATAAGTTGAGCTGCTCAGTCAATCCCAAGCCACAAGAGTTGCTACACTGGCCAAGTGATGACCCTTCCCTCTTCCTCTCCAAATTCAGTGCTAGAATCTTCCTCATTAGCCCCTCGGGTCCCAGGCTCTCCCTGTGGCACAAACATCCATCAGTATGGCAATAAGTCACCTCTCTTTGGGTCTCAGATGGGTGAAAGGAAGGCACCAAACTAAAAATCCCTACTTAGTGCCAGGTATTAGGGACAGAGATGAAGATACATTGCTTGTCCACAATGCAGGGCTCCATTCCAGCTCTAAAACTCTTTGAGAACCTCTTAAAAGTATTAATACGTGAAATGAAAAGGTGTGAATAAATGAGAACTCTAGCTGTAGGAACTAGGGCCCGAGGCACCTTACTGTTCTACATGAGGGGGAAAACCAAACTCTGGAGTCAATATGGCCTCACTCCTAAAATAGCTGGGCTTCTCTGATGGCTCAGTGGTAAAGAATCTGCCTTCAATGCAGGAGATGCAGGTTCAATCCCTGGGTGGGGAAGATCCTCTAGAGAAGGAAATGGCAACCCACTCCAGTATTATGCCTGGGAAAACCTATCCATAGAGGACCTGGAGAGCGACAGTCCAAGGGGTCAGAAGAGTTGGACATGGCTTAGCGACAGCACACATGCACAACACTACCGAGCTATGTATTTTTAAAATGATTATGATGGTAAATTTTGAGGGTTTTTACTTTAGCCACAATTAACATTTTTTTAATGGTAAATTTTGTGGGTTTTTTTTTTACCATAATTTAAAAAATTTTTAATTAAAGAAAACTTTTTAAGATTAGCTTTCACTACAGTAAGTACACATGATTTTGTATATACAATCCTGTGCAGTAACTCTTACAAGAATCACTAAAATAGACTACAGACAGGAATTCATGGAATTCTATATCAAATGTCTGGTCAGAGGGCTTTCATGGTGGCTCAGAGGTAAAGAATTGGCTTGCCAAGGTACAAGACATGGGTTCGATACTTAATCTGGTAAGAGCTCACATACAGTGGAGCAACGAAGCCCATGGACACAACCATTGAGCCTGTGTTCCAGAGCCCAGGAGCCACAACTACTGAGTCCATGTGCTGCAACTACTGAAGACTGTGCGCTTACAGCCTGTGCTGTAAGCACGAGAAGAGAAGCCTCCACAATAAGAAGCCTGCGAATGCTTGCCATAACTAGAGAAAAGCCTGAGCAGCAATGAAGGCACAGCCAAAAATAAATAAATAGTATTTTTAAAATTTCTGGTCATTCAAATCTTTAAACTTTGCAGAATTTACCCTCTTGTTTTACTATTCGGTCTCTATAGCCTTAAAATACATAAAGTTGATTTATCATTGGAAAGATTCAGTTCAGTCGCTCAGTCGTGTCTGACTCTTTGAGACCCCATGGACTGCAGCACACCAGGCTTCCTTGTCCATCACCAACTCCTGGAGCCTACTCAAATTCATGTCCATCAAACGGGTGATGCCATCCAACCATCTCATCCTCACTGGAAAGATTATATGGTGGAATCTCTAAAAAAAAATCTGTTCATCCTTAAACTCATGAGAAGCTGAATTCACGCCTGAGACTTGATGTTTTCTCCTTTATCCTCTCAGGCATCGGTTAGGTCCTCCCTGAACATCTCTGGTCTCCCTTCACTCATTGCAACTTAGTCAGTAGACTGAAAACGTCTCAACCAGGACACAGTGCTAACTCTGTCAGCTGAGCCCTGGACCAGCTCACTTCCTCCCTCTGAACCTCAGTTTCTCCATCTGTACACTGAGAACATCTGAGAGTCCTTTCCAGCCCTGTATAGGATGCTGACCTACAGAAATTGTGGCCCACACCCACCATTAAGCACATACGGCTTCCGCACAAGCTCCTTAGGCCTCTCCTCTACATCCACTTCCATGGCCTTAACCTGCAGAGAACAGAGACCGTGAGAACAGTAGCCAGAAGAAATTATCCTGGATGAGGGAGAATTCTAAAGGCTCCTGCCCATCCCAACACACCTGCGTTACCCATAAGGGCCCCTCCACAAGGTCAGGCAAGACTAGATGACCAAAGAACTAATGCCCTGGATGCTTTTTGGTTCCCAAGATGCTCATGAAAGCAGTTTATCTTTCTGCGCCCATCTATAAAATGGGCAGAATATGCCTTGCCTGCCTCACTTCACTGTGTGATTATCAAATAAAGCACATGAAAGCACTTTAGACTTTTCAATGAGGGAGAGAGGTCAGATGCCTTGTCTTATGCAAGGAGCAAGGTGACAGTGCTTGGCTATAGTTTCACATTTATTCAATAAACAGTAGTGCCTTGTTCCTCTAGCGTAGAGATAATAAGAAATTTGCCTGAAGGCAACGGGACAAACCCAATCAGCAAGTCCATTCATTAATTATAGACCACTAGTCACATCCTAAGCACCACCGAGTGAGGCTTAGTAGTGAATGGAACAGAGTTCTTGTCCCCAAGCAGATTATGTTGGAGGAAAGATGCACCGATAATAAACAGATAAATATATAACATGACATACCATCAAGTATTTACAAGTGTCAATGAATTAAAGTAGGAAAGAAGTTACTGAGTGAAAGGGGGTGCGATTTTTGAAAGTGGTCCAGAAAAAGAATTATTCTGGAGAAACTAGCCCAAGGGAAGCCTCAGACCAAGGACGACTGGATAACCAAGGAAAGGTGTGAGGAGCAGTAAGGATTCCAAACTCCTTATTAGGAAGTTAAGGGCAGAAAAAAGATAAATTCTGGGAAACTGAGATGCCAAGGGATCCAAACAGTTTAATTTCAGAAGGATAAAGTGAGTGCCGAAGGAAAACGGAAGCTCCAACCCAGGTCCAATGTGTGCTGGGGAGGCAGTATGAGGGAAATACTAAAGGTAATCTCAACGCACTGTCAGGCTGGCCGAGTTGGCTGTGGGGAAGTCGCAAACCCAAGGGCGTGAGGGAGGTAATAAAACAGGATTAAGCCAGCTAAGGATGGTGTGGGGGCGGAGGGCAAGGCCGGGACCATGTCAGTACCTTTCTCTTAAGAAGGGGCACGGCCCTGTTGGGGTCCACAGCCAAACCCATCTCGGCCAGGTTCTGCCGCACCGATTTGGTCTGGTCCCAGGCATGTCGGATGTGTGAGCTACGGGAAAAAAAGAGGGCGATCGCGGGACTGTCATCTCGCTAGCCGTCCTGGCCGAGGTCTCCTGCCGTCTGAACCCCGGTCTCCTCACCATTCGATCCGCGGCGCTGCCTTCCGTCTAGCATTCCGGTTCAGACGCTTCCGGTTAACATTATAACCGAACTTCTGCCTCCGAGTTTTTCCCTTGGCTTTGGGCATTGCACTTACCACAGCACCGACTACTAGACTCTGCTTCTCACTCCAACTACCTCGTGTAGCGACTCCTTCCGGCTAGTGGAGCACGTGGTTTTGCAGACTTTCGGGAAATGCAGTCTTCTTCTTCGCAGCGACACAAGCTGGGTACTATAACTCCCAGAATGCCACGAGCGACCGCGCCTGCGTACAACGTTCAGGAAGGCCCTTTTCCCTGTCCCCTTTAATGACCTCATCAGGAGGCGGGGCTTAGCGTCCGAATTTTCGCCTACTGCCGTTGCCCGAAACATGGAGACTCCTGGCGGTGTCACTCCGGAGGCACCTTTTGAACCATCGCAGCCCCCAGTCATTGAAGGCTTTAGCCCCAGTGTATACAGCACTTCGGAAAGCTTCAAGGAAAAGTTTATTCGCAAGACCCGCGAGAACCCACTGGTACCCATAGGTAAGCAAGTGGGAGCTGTTGGAACTGTAGACCAAGAGGGCAGTGATGCAGAGGGAATGAAATAGGGGAGGACCGGGACCCCAGTGGGGTGACCGGAATGAGAAGGGGCCGGGCGGTGAGGGGTGAACGTGATTGGAGTAGGAGCTGGACGGGATTGGGGACGCTGGGACGCAGCGGACTCTGACCCCGAGGACCCCCCCTGCCCCGGCCCTCCTTCTGCCCACCCCTCCCACCTCGGCCCCACCCCACGGCGCGCTCTCCTCAGCTCCTGTTTAAGGATATCTTGACCCTGGAGAGGGAAGCCCAAAGAGGGGAGGGGCCCTCTGGAGCCGGACCTTGCACTTCCCACCTGCTTTGTCGCCTCTTCAGGCTGCCTGGGCACTGCGGCCGCCCTTACCTATGGCCTCTACTGCTTCCACCGTGGACAGAGCCAGCGCTCCCAGCTCATGATGCGTACCCGGATCGCCGCCCAGGGCTTCACGATCGTAGCCATCTTGGTGGGTCTGGCTGCGTCCACTCTGAAATCTCGACCTTGAGCCGGTGGCCTCGCCTTGAAAGCTTCACGGAGATGGTGAATACAGCATTTCGGAACCACCAGTCCTACCACTGAAATAACTCCCTCATCTCCCCTAACAAGCCCTGTATCAGTGCGGGTGGAAGTGGCCAATTGTGTAAACGACAGCTATTTTTTCCGGAATCTCGGGTTCCGTTCAGTTTGCGTGTTGCCTACTTCTGTTTGTGCTGCACCTTCCCCACTTCCTACCTAATAAATTCTCATTCACTTGTAGTTCAGTGAATTCGTTCCCATTCTCACCGCCATGGTGTTTGGTCTTTGGTTTTAGGAGAAAACAGACTACAGACTGCAGGGTCTTTTAGAAATCCAGTAGTCTACTGATTCTCAAACTTTCCTGACAGCAGTCACCCCGAGGTATTTATTAAAAGTAGGCAGTCTTGAGAGTCCCTTGGACAGCAGGGAGATCAAACCAGTCAATCTTAAAGGAAATCAACCCTGAATATGCACTGGAAGGACTGATGCTGAAGCTTCAATACTTTGGCCACATGATGCACAGAGCCAACTCATTGGTAAAGACCCTGATGCTGGGAAAGATTGAGGGCAGGAGGATAAGAGGGTGACAGAGGATGAGATGGTTGAATGGCATCACCGATTCAATAGTCAAATTCGTGCAAACTCCAGGAGATAGTGAAAGACAGGGAAATCTGGCGTGCTACATTCACGGGATAGCAAAGAGTCATGACTTAGCGACTGAACAAGACAGTTCCTACAGCGATGTTATATGGGGGGCCAGGGTCAGGGGTGGGGACTGATCTTTCCAACAATTTTCAAACTTTAAGTAGAAAACCTTCCTTCCCATGAGGCCTGCCATGCTTCTGCCCTCCACTTGTGTTCCTGACTCCAGTACCACCTCCTGAGAACACCTCCTGATCTAGACCATCTGATCTAGACCATCCCAGCTTGGTTCTTGATGCATCTTACAGAGCAGGAAACTGAGGCTTACAGACACAGCCTGATGTAACAGAAACAGCGCACAGGGTAATCCCAAAGCTTGCCAGTGATTTGTGGCAGCACCTAGTGTTTATGGTTAAGGAGAAAAGGAGACTGGAGATCTGAGCAAACTCAAGAAGAGAGGCACCTCATGAGTTTCTCATTCATGTAAAGTCTCAAAAACAGGTGTTCCTGATCTGCTGCTGCCGCTAAGTCGCTTCAGTCATGTCCGACTCTGTGCAACCCCACAGATGGCAGCCTACCAGGCTCCTCCATCCCTGGGATTCTCCAGGCAAGAACACTGGAGTGGGTTGCCATTCTGCAGTCATCCCTAAGGTGTTGAGTCAGACTCCGTTTCCTTCCACCCGTGGCACCATCAGTTTCAGTACCAGCTGTATGACTAAGGCCAGTGAAGCTTCTCGCCCCCACCATGGTCCTTCAGCTGTAAGGGAGAGATTCTAAGTGTGGTGACCCTTGGCCTCCACACGGAACAGACATGAAGTGGTGAGGGCTGTGGCACTTCTAGAAGACGGCCACTAGTTTTAACTTGTTGCCGTTCCTCCCCCTCCAACCCCCACCGGAAGAAGCTTAGCTTAAAGTCCTAACCCCAGCACTTCAGAAGGTGACCTTATTTGATAATAGGGTCTTCTCAGAGGTAATCAATTTAAACGAGGTCAGTCGGGTGGACTCTAATCCAGTATGACTGGTGTGCTTATACAAAGGAGAAGTTTGGACACAAAAGCAGACGTGCATGGAGAACAGGTGATGTGATGATAAACTCAGGATTGTAGTAATGTATGTACAAGCCAAGGGACACAGCTCCTTCCCTATGGCCTTTAGAGGGATGGTGACAGCATGGCTTCAGACTTAATGACCGCCAGACCAGTGAGACAGTAAACTCTGTTGTTCTAAGCCAGACAATGTGGCTATGGCAGTTCTAGGAAACTAATACGGTTGGCAATTAAATCTTTTTAAACACTTCAGATCACAATGGCTTGAATGTAACCTGTGTGCAACCTCTGTTAAAGGGGAGAAGGTATAGTCACTGATTGTTTCCCCAAAATCCTTTTCTCTCAGGCTTCTTCGATCAGAAAGGGTTGAAGTTGCAAATGCATCCTGTGAGGGGTTGGTTGTCTCCTCCTGGAGCTGGAGGCAGCAGACATAGATGGGTTCCCTCACTTCCAGCTGGGAGCTCCTGGGTTACCAAGGAAACAGCCTTACCTTCTCTCTAGTCCATGAAGCTGGGGAGATTCTAAGCACAAACCAAGCCCTGACACCAGTTGTGGCTTCCAGAGAAATGAGAATGATAATAAATAAGTGTAAAAAGAGTTAACAACACACCCTTTAAGCCAAGAAGAAAAAAAAAATACATCAGGAAGGACAGTCACAATTCTGTGGACTGAGAGGTGTGAGGGGCTGGGCCACTGGGCCGTGAGGGAATGACGGGTGAGGGGGTGAGGGGTCCCCTTCCCGGCCCCCGGGAGATGGGGAGGAACGGAATAGGCTGTGTAGCAGCTGTGGGAGGCATTGCCGCCCCCTGGCCAAAGCAGCTGCTCCTCCTCTGCCCGGCCGGGCCCCTGCGTGGCGGCCATGCTGCTGGCAGACTCCTAGCGGGACAGCGGTGTCTGCTTCAGGGACATGAGCACCGAGCGCAGGCGGGACACGTCTTTGCACTGCTTGCTGCTCTTGGGGTTGAAGTCACACAGTTGGGCCACCTTCTCCCACTCTGTGCCCGGGGTCTCCTCCTTGGATTCCTTCACAAAAGCCTCCTCAGATGCCCTGCAGGTGGAGACAGGAGAGAGGTTTCAGAGCGGTCTATCTCTTTCCCGAAGCAGTGATGCTCTGCTCCCATGGAGCAAGGCTGTTTTGCCCAGCCTACTATGGGGTACTTTACCAAGGCATCTCCTTCCTGGTTCCGTGACCTCTGACCTCAGGCCCACAGGAACACCTTAGCCACCAGAGGAACCCTGGGTCCTGCCTCAGGGCCTTTTTTGAGGTCTTTCCTCAGACCTGCTCACAGCTTGTTTCTTGTCATTCAGGTCGAGTGCAGGCCTTACCTCCTGAGAAAAGTCTTCCCCTGCCACCGAAGCTCAAGTAGCCTACCCCTGCACCAGCATTCTCTGTTCATCACCTCTCCATCAAGAGTTCCTAAACTGGGTCCCATTTATTTTTGCTTTCATTTCCATTACTCTAGGAGACCTATCCAAAAAGAACAGTACCGTGATTTATGTCAAACAGTATTCTGTTTGTAGTATCTGGTCTTGCCTTTAGATCTTTAATCCATTGAGTTTATTTTTGTGTGTGATGTTAGGTGGTATTCTAACATATTCTAACATCATATTTCATTCTTTCACATGCAGCTTTCCAGTTTTCCACCGTGTAGCTGATTCACTTCCTTGTACGGCAGAAACTAACACAACATTGTAAAGCAATTATACTCCAATTGAAAAAAAAAGGAAAAAGAGTTCCCATGCTGGGGCTCCTGACACCTAAAGGCCCTTGGAGAAATCAATGTAATACCTCAGCTATTTTCAACACTTCCCCAAACTGGACAGGACATTTACTAACCACCTAACTGAAATCTCTGATTCGGCATTGCCTCAGGGTTCTCTGGATCCTATGAGTGTTCCTCAGAAAAGGTTGTGGTCAAAAATGTGTAAAAGAATCAACTAAAGAGGATCTTCAAAACAAGTCACCCGGATTTAACTACAGAACTCTTTTTAGCACAGAATGACTATTCTCTCAGCCTGGGGAATGCTCCACTGGAGTCTTTGCTTTTGGTTAGAATCAGATTAGGATGGAAAGTGGTCGTTTCTTCATCAGAAGTTCTGGCTGATAGTTACAGAAGCCACTGATGAAGGAACAATGGGGAAATAAAGTATAACAAATGTAGTTTTGTGGACAAAACCTAAATGTGGGAGTCATTAAGAGAAAGACAATAAGGGATTCTGGGGTGGGGAGGGCTGGGTCTGTGTTCTGTTTGACCAGCAAGTGTCCTTAAAGCCCCTCACTCCTTAGCAGTCCCCCTTGCATCGCAAGCAGGACCATTTCTGCCAAGGGCTAGGCACTAGCTGATGGCGGGTGATCACTCTCCAGGTGATCCAGAGGGATCCAGGATGAGCCGGCCCTGGCTCAGGCGACCCAGCCCCTCCCGGGGGATCTTGCTTCCCTGCTGGGTGCTCATTTCCTAATCTATAAAGTGAGAAGCAGTGTCTCCTCTTTGCTGATCCGTCTCACTGGTCTGAGAGCCCAGCAACACAACATGTGTGTGTGGGCTTGGGAAAAAGTAAGGTTCTGAGTGGAGCTGCCTGACCAGCAGGGCTGAGGGGAGCGATCTTTGAAGCTCTCTCTTCCAGGTCAAAAAGTGAAGTGAAGTGAAAGTCGCTCAGTTGTGTCCAACTCTTTGCAACCCCATGGACTATACAGTCCATGGAATTCTTCAGGCCAGAATACTGGAGTGGGTAGCCTTTCCCTTCTCCAGGGGATCTTCCTGACCCAGGAATCGAATGGGGGTCTCCTGCATTGCAGGTCGATGCTTTACCAACTGAGCTATCTGGGTCAAGAGGCTCCCCTCTAACCTTGCTCTCAAAGCAGGATTCATGGTCCAGCAGCACTGCATCACCATGGAGCTTGTTGGCAATGCAGAATCATGGCCTCACTTCAGTCTTTCTGTGTCAGAATCTCCATTTTGACAAGAGCCCCTGGTGATTCATAGGTACGAGCAGGTCTGAGAAGCGCTGCTCTAGACTCTTCCTCTCTTTGGGATTCCCTTGGGTGCTCCTTGGGTCACCTCCTCAGGCACAACAGGAGCAAAGAACCCCCTGCGGTGTTCTCCAGCCCCAATGCCCTTCTGCCATCCCCAGTCTCCTGCTCGAAACCTCCCATGGCTCTCCGCTACCTTCAGGATCAGGTCTGAGCTTTTAAACATCACACTATAGGCTTTCTTCAAGTGGCTCCAAACTGATTTTCTCCCCGCCCCCCAGACCCCAACCCCAGCCACTGCAGGCCACTGGTATTTCCCCTCTCATAGCCTTTGCCCTAGCAGCTTTTCCCATCGAGGACACCCTTCTCTTCTCACCCTCCCCACACAGCAAACTCCACCTCATGCTTTAAGGGCCAGGGGCGGTCCCACATCTCTGAAGCTTCCCCCGCAGAGGGTGGCTCTGTGGGAGCCCTGCATGTCCTTGTGAGCAGCTCTTATCACAACGCACCTGCAACCATGAGCAACTTAAGGGGATGGACTGTGTGCATATTATTCCTGTTGGACCGGAGATTGGCATTGGGTAAGCACCAATAAGTACTGGATAAATAGGAGAGTGGACAGAGGAAGGAGTGGAAGGCTGTTATTTTGGTGTGTCCCAGGTTCTGTAAGAGGAGGGTTAGCCCAGACAGCATGAGAGGGCTGCCAAGGGCGTACCCAGGGCGAGGAACAGCAAATATTTGGCACATACTCACGAGGCAGTCATCAGACACTCATCACTGCTTTTTTTTCTCCTTCAGCTTCACAATCCCCAACACACCACCCAGCTAACTATGAGAAGAAATCTCTTGTCTGGATTAGGCACAGGACCGGCTAGACCCCAAACCAGGAACTTGAGACAGGCCAATGGTGGTCTCGCCAGGGGCTCGCAGCCAAATTCAGGCTGGAGCTCTGAGAGGAACAGCACACTCAGGCAGGAGGTGGGGGATGGCAGGGCATGCTTTATACCTCCAGCACCAGGCACCCCACGCTTGTTTTGTTCAACAAAAAACTCACCCCACTTCCCACCTCCCACCCCGAGAGCCATCTCAGGGCCGGAGGAGTTGGGCTGTTGGCCCTTTGCCTCTATCACCTGAGGATGGCCAGCATTCTTTCCTTGTCTCTGCTTGGATTTAGCAAATCTGTCTCAAAGATGCTCAGGACACATTTGCCAGGGGGATGGAGGTGAAGGTTGGTGCCTGGGTCCACCCTGCGGCTCACCTCCTTCTCTGATCACTGTCCCAGGCCCAGCCACACTCATTCATACCCCACCAGGGAGAGACTCAAGAAACTGCCAGCCGCATACAGGGGCCCCAGCAGAAGAGCAAAGGAGACACGTACACGTAGCCGATGATGTCAGCATCTGGCTGCTGGTAGAATGCTTTGTCAGCGATCCTTGGGGGAAGGGGTTAGGTGAGGGGAGAACAGCAGGGCAAGATGGACAGGCAGGCAGAGGGTTAAAGAGAAAGAGAAATCAGCATTAGTACCTCCAGCTGGAGACGTGTTAGGAAGCACAGTTCTGGAAGGCTCAGCAACTCTCCACAGCCCAGAGAGGAGAGCGGGGATCCCCCACCCACCCGAGGAGGGGGCCCTTTCTAAAACTCAGCCCTTATCCTGTTACTCCTCCTGTTCACAAACCTTCCGTGACTCCCATAGCCCATGTCTTCCCAAAGCTCACATTCGAGGCCCTGCACATGTGAGCCCTCACTCCGGCCCTCCCTCCCGCCTCTCTCCCTGCTGCCCAAGCCTTTCTTGGACAGACAGAAAGAAAGGACAACGGCCTTTCTTTCACATCATGTTGTGTCCTGGTCTCCTAGTTGTCCTCCAAAGCCTAGAGACCCCCTCCTCCGCACACATCCCTTGCTTCCCACATCCCTTGCTTCCACAGCCTTCCTGCAGAGACCCTGCTCCCGAGACCAGACCAGCACGTTTGCCCACTGCTGAGCTCTTTGAGGACACAGATGCGGTCCTTCTCATTTCTGCCTCCCCAGGGCCCAGCCCAGGGTCTGGCAGGCAGCAGCTTGTTGAAAAGGAAGCTGGAAGCTTCCCAGAGCCAGCCTTCCCCTTCCTGGCGGGTCTGGTGCCTTCAAGGGCACGGCCTCAAAGGCAGGGGCTGCCGGGCGCTCTCTAGGCAGAGAGCATTTCTGCAAGGGATTCTCCGGTGGGTCTCCACTGTCTTTCCTGCCCAACACCTGTCCTTCTTCTTCCGGGAAGGGCATCCTGATTGTCCTATAAAGCATCAGCTGCCCCCACCCAGTCCCTGTGGTTTGTGTGGGATCGGACCCCACACACAAACCAGGAAATGAGACCCCATCTGGGTCCATCAGAGAGTCTCTGCTCCTGGGACAGTCACTGGGCATGGGATGAGCACGTGACCCCACACCAGATCAGCTGAAGCTGCTGGGGGCGAGAGTCTTACTTTCACTGGAGCTGCCAAGAAAATAGAGCAGGAGTCTGGAGCTGCTGGCGGCCACCTGGGGCCCCATCCCTGGGGTGTATGCCCAAGAGTGAAGGTGGGGGGAAGGAAAGCAGGGCTGAGAGACAGTAAAAGTGAGCACTGATGGACTTTGTTTCAGCTGGAGCCCACTGTGCCTGCCTGCTTCCCCCTGGCCTTTCCAGTTACACAGGTCACGAATTTCCCTCTACTCTTCAGCCACTTCCAAGTCGAAGTGTTGTCACTTCGAGAAGCAGGAAAACCCTGAATATGGCTTGGTTCTTCCCCCCAGCCAGGCCTGTGCTCTCTGTGATGCTAACCGTGGCCACAGGGCCCCCAGTCCAGCTCTTGGCCAGTGGGTTCCAGGGTCATCTGGCTCACATTCCAGTGGGTCCTAGGCCCTCGTCCATCGACTGGTAGACTCGCTTTTCTCTGTCGTGGGGAGGAGGCGAGAGCTTACAGTCACCAGCTCTGCAGTGTTCAGGGTGCTGAGCTCCACAGGCCACTGAGGAAACAGCCCCGGGCGTCTGGCTTCTGCTTCGTCCATGTTCTCGCCACCAAATCACCCATCCTTGTGACAGTCCCCCTCTCTCCTTCATGGCTCCTCTCATGTCCCCACAGCCCCCTCATGCCCTGATAGCTCTGCTCACCGGTTGTTGATCTTGTTCTTCTCGACTTGTTCACTCTGGCGCTGGTTCCATTCCTCCAGGTCCTTCTTGGCCTTCTCCCGCCACTCCTGCTCCATCACTTTGGAGGCAGCATCTGCGACCCCCAACAGGTGAATGAGCAGCCGCTTTCCAGGAGGAATGTGAGGCACAGCTGCCCTGGCGGCTTCTCCCCTCAGCCCCGACCTCTGCCAGTCCCCACACCTAGGAGCCCCATGTACTCTCAGGCTTCCCACCTGACCTTGGTGATGGTCCCAAACCACCACCCCGGTGGGAAGCCCTGTCAGGGGGCCCAGCCCAGCTCGCAGCCTCAGCCCCGTCCTCACCCAGCTCCTGCAGCCGTTTCCGCTGCTCCTCTCTCCACTTGCGGATGCTCTCGGGTTCCTGAGTCAGCCTGTCCGCCTGGGCGATCGCGGCATAGCCGTCCGCTGGACCGTTGGCCTCCTAGGACACAGACAGACGCCAGTGCACCCAGCCTGCCCACCTGCCCCTCTGTCTCTGCTCCTTGCCTACTCCTTTCCAGTTACAGAGGCCACTAATTTCCCTTTATTCTTTAGCCACTTCTGGGTCAAAGTGTTGTCATTTCTATGAGCAATAAAACTCTACACATCGGTTTTCTTTAAACCCCTCACATCTCAAACCACGTCATGCCCACTATCTCCTGTGACTTTCCTCATCACAAAACGGGCTACAGAAAAGCACCCACTCCATAGGGTTACAATGAGGATGAAATGAGTTTTAAAAGCATAAAGAACTTCAACTGCTTCTTGGCACACAGAGAGTTCCCTGTGTTTCTGTCACTAAAGTTCCACTCTGTTAGCTGTGGGCTTCCCACGTGGCTCAATTGTAAAGAATCTGTCTGCCAATGCAGGAGCCACAGGAGACGGAGGTTTGATCCCTAGGTGGGACAGATCCCCTGGAGGAGGGAATGGCAACTCCAGTATTCTTGCCTGGAGAATCTCATGGACAGAGGAGCCTGCCAGACTACAGTCCACGGTGTCACAAAGAGTCGGACACGAGTGAGCACTGTTAGTTTTATTCACCCAATAACACACAGGCCCAAATGGCCTCACTTTATAATACATTTACTTGTCTATTGTCTGTCTCCTCTATCAGAATGTCACATTTGTGACAGCAGGGATTTGCCTGCCCTGTTCCCTGCTGTGTCCCCAGCACCCAGCACAGTGCCTGGCACAGAGCAGGTACTCTGTAACTATTTACTGAGTGAACAGTCCTGAGATAGGCAGGGTGGGCTTAGCTAAGATTGTGCAGTGATGGGAAACTCAGACTTGGAGACCAGACCCTCTGGGTTCAGATCCCATCTCTACTCCCTGCTACATGTGTGTAACTCAACCTTGCTTGACCTCAGTTTTCTCATCTGAAATGAAGATGATACTAAAACTACCTCTAAGAGCTGGTGTGAGGATTTGATGCAACAGTACTTGTAAGAAATTTACAAGAGTGCCCAGCATGGAGTGATGGCTCAGCAAATGATAGCTAAAATTATTATTATTATTCATTCTCATCTTATAGGGGGTGGAAACTGAGGCCAGGAGAGATGGCACAATGTCGTGGCAGAACCTGGGCTGCAGTCCAGGCCTCCTCTGACTTCCAAGCCAGGGCTCTGCCCAATTCTCCAGGCTGCCTGCCAGGGTAGGGGACTCCAAGCATGGCAGGCTGAGAGCTCAGCCCAGACAGGATGAGGCTTCCCTCTGTTCTTGAAGAGCCAGAGCTTTTTTATGATCCAGCCCATCTCTGGAGCTCTGTCTGCCCAGTGCATTCCTGTCTCCACCCATCCCACACCCACGCTGCCCCGCCTTTGTGCTTTCGGCCTGCAATTGTCTCCCCTCCTTCCCCCAGCTAATGAAATCTTATTCCATCCCAAGTTTCTAGCTCAGAAGTCACCAGCTCTGGGCTATTTCCAAACCCCCAAGCAGACCACAGCCCTTCCTCTCCCCGTGCTCCTTTGCCTTCTACCATGTGAGTCTCCTGGCTGGACTGGGAGATCCCGGGCAGCAGGGCAGAACCTTGTTTACAGCCCTATGAACGTGTCCCTCCTTTCACTGCTGTTGCTCAAGGACTCATCAAACTGTCATGGATTCCAGTGTTGTTTAATGTCTTCTCCCCACCCAACAGCATCTGTCCAACGGGCCCACACAGCTGGGCTCAACAAGCGGTGGCCGTATGGATGAAGCTCCCCCCTGGGGCCAGCATGTGCCGGTTCAGAGGAAGTGCTGGGTGTCTGTCCAAGGGGCTGTGGGCAGCAAAGTGGAGGAGCATGCAGATGGACACAAGAGCTGCATCTCCCTCGGGAGACAGAAGGGCAGGCCGAGGGCGAGGCAGTGCTGCCTGGCTCCTCGGATCAGACCGCCCTTGGGTGGGGCAGCTGGGTCACTGCCCTTATTCCTCCTTCCTGCCCAGCATTATATTTTAATTTAGAGTCTCTCATGACATCTCAAGGGGCCTTTTCAGGCCCCTAATCTCAACAACACAAGTTGATCACAAGTTGATGTAGGGTGAGCCCCACCCTGTTCCGTTCTGGGAACAACCCTGTCCTAAGGCCAGGCTACCAGGACCTCTACCCAGTCCTATAGAATGTCCCATCTGCAGACAAGTGCAGTTACTTTGGTGTCTATGTGTTTATTCAGGTGCTACATTTTATTTCTTCTTGGTACTCGTGATATCTTAAAAGACTGGCTTCCTTGGTGGCTCAGACAGTAAATAATCTGCCTGCAATGCAGGAGACCTGGGTTTGATCTCTGGGTCAGGAAGATCCCCTTGAGAAGGGAATGGTGACCCACTCCAGTATTTCTTGCCCGGGAAATCCCATGGACAGAGGAGCCTGGTGGGCTATAGTCCTTGGGTTGCAAAGAGTCGGACATGACTAAGCAACTAACACGTTCTGATTTTCTTTACTATCTGCCCCCCACCCCTCCCCAGTAAGTGAGTTCCATGCAGACAGAGACTGTCTCTGTAAGGACCTAGGACAGGGAAGGCCTGGCTGTAAGAGGAGCTCAAGAACATCTCTTGAATGAATTAACATATGTTCATGCTTGGGGACAGAGATGAACAAGTTGGCCCATCATCCAGGAGCTTGGCAGAGGGAGTTCCTCACAAATGAAGACCATGGCTTGGGGTACGTGCATAACATGGGTCATGAAAAGAAGGGGGACAAGGGAGGGTATGACCTTTCTAGCCTAGGAACAGAGTAGGCTGGGAAGAGACAGGGGAAGAGCATTTCAGACCAAGAGTTGGCAGTGTAAGGACCATGTGAGGCTGGTGCCTTTGGGAAAATGTGAGTACAGACATGCTGTCACGTGTGGATGAGATGGGTTGAGAGAGGTGGGCTGGAGGGGTAGAAGTCATTCCATGGTGTCCTTGAGGACTCACCATCTCCTTTAGAAGTGCGGGCGTGCTCAGTCGTGTCCGACTCTTTGCGACCCCATGGATGGTAGCCTGCCAGGCTCCTCTATCCATGGAATTTTCCAGGCAAGAACACTCAAGTGGGTTGCCATTTCCTACTCCAGGGGATCTTCCCAACCCAGGGGTTGAATCAGCATCTTCTGTGTCTCCTGCATTGGCAGGCAGGTTCTTCACCACTGAGATACCTGGGAAACCCCACCATCTCCTTCAAGACTGCCCTAAAATTAAGACTCACAGGTTAGAGTGCTTAAAAACTTGCAAAGAACCTTCAATTAAATGGTTCTCTTTGGCCTTCACAAACCTTCATGGTGGGTTTTATTATCTTTGTTTTACAGGTAGGAAAAAGTCTAGCTTCAAAGTCCCAAGGTCACTCAGCCAGCAACTGGCAGAGCCAGAATTCAAACTGAATTCCTGGGTGTGACACACCAGCCACACATAGCCAACAGGGGCCAAAGTCACTTCTGTGTCACGTGACTTCCTCCCTAACACGTCTACCATCCCAAGATTAGAGACCATGCCCTGTCCTCCCACTGTCCCGAGGCCCACTCCCTGTCTCTCCCACACTTGCCTTCATACCCTCCTTGGCTCACTGAGTGGCTAGCTCAGGGATAAGAAGCTTCTAAGACTACAGAGCACTCTTCTCAACAGACCTGTGGGGACAGCAAGGGAGGGCTTCTCATCCCCATTTTACAAATGACAAATCCAGCTCAAAGCAGCGACTAGTCCAAGGTCGTCCAGCTGGGAAAAAGCAGAAATGAAGCCCAGACTGTCTGACGCCATCCAGACTTCACCACAGCGCCTCAGTCTGGGTGTAGAAGCAGCTGGAGTAGATGCTGGGGACGGAGGGAGGTTAGGAGGGTTGAGGGGAGGAGCCTGGAGCAGCTGCACCCCACATCCAGGGGCATCGCTCAGTGTGGCCCCAGCAGGTGGTGCCCAGAGCTGGCTGTGCCCCAGGCTCTGAGTGGAGAGCCCGGTCAAGCTGAGCCCGCCTCCTCCACCAATGCGGCCTATTGATAGGCTCTGGCTGGGAGCTGTTCCCGCCCCCTACACACCCCTATGCCTCCCACCTGCAGGCACACAGCCCTGCACCTGTGGTCTCTTCCGGCTCCCCCAGCACAACCTTCCCTGCAGCAGCCCCAGACTGAGCATCTTATCTTCTGTGCCTCTGCACATGCTGTCCTCCCAGCCAGGACCACCCACCTCCCCCTGGGCAGCCTAGAACCCGCTTCCAGCATCCGTTCCAGTTGCCCTCTCTGACTTCAGTGCAGCAGCTAGCGGCTGAGCCTGCTTCAGGTCCCAGCTCTTTCCGGCTGTGTAACCAGAGCTATTAAACTTCCTTGTGTGTCCTCCTTTCCCTCATCGGTAAAGTGGGGATAATGTATGGAACCTACATGATAGGAGTGTTGGGAAGATGAAATGAGTTAATCCATTAAAGCTTTTGGGTGGTGCCCAATGCAGAATAGCTTCCCTGGTGATTCAGATGGTAAAGAATCTGCCTTTAGTGCAGGAGACCTGGGTTCGTTCCTGGGTTGGGAAGATCCCCTGTGGAAGGGAATGGCAACCCACTCCAGTATTTTTGCCTAGAGAATCCCCATGGACAGAGGAGCCTGGCGGGCTACAGTCCTTGGGGTCACAAAGGATCAGATACAACTGAGCGACTGATACTTCCATTTTGATGTACAGTAAGAACTCAGACTCCTGGCTCTTGAGACCAGCCCCACACCTGAGCCCCTGCTGTCCCGCACAACTTTCAGGTCTGTCATTTGGGCTCTTTGAGAACCAACAGCCATTGGATTTGCCTCTACATCGAAGGCCTTGAGCACAGCACATGGCACTCAGAATGTGAGCTGACTAAATGAAGGAATGAGGGGCTGCCTGCACAGCAATGTGGAGGGCATGGGGAGAGCCTGGGACACAGCATCAGAGGGACTTGGGCTTTAAGTCCCCTCTTGCCACTCACTGGATGTGCGACCTTTAAGAAGTCCCCTCCTGGTGCTCCTTACGTGTCATCACCTGTCAAATGGGAGTGACAACATCCCACTCCAGGTGTGAAGTGGGGCCTGAATGTGATAACTGCCCTGCAACTGCTGTAGCCCATAGGCTTGGAGACAGCACATGTGCAGGGGGCTGAGCTGCATGGCTCTGCAGCATCGCCCATGGCAACCTCCCCACCATCAGTCGGCCGGCCACCCTGCACCATCACCACAACCAGGAGAACACAGAGCGGTGCTGCAGGCAGACGAGGTCCTGAGAAGCTGTTTGCTGGCTCCCCTTCACACACTGATCTGGACTTATTTTCCAGCCCTGCCCCTGCCAGTGAGCAGTGAGGCTGGAAGAGTCACGGAAGGGGCTCCTCCTCAATCACTAGACTGTCCCAGTGAGGAAACAGGGTCAGCTTCCAGGGGGCTGACAGCCCAGAAGGGCTCGCCCAGGGCTGCAGGAATGCTTGGAGCCCCTCCCAAGCTCGAAAGGGAAGGCATCTGGGAATGGCCGGGACCAAAAGGCAGGAGGCTACAATCAGGGCCGGGCTTGCCTCGGCCCAGCTCTCTGGCGGCACCCCTCTCCCGAGGGACCCCTCTGCTGGACACTGGAGACCACCACAAGGGCTTCCGGGGTCCAGGCTGGCCCAGCACGTGCTGTGACACCATGGGCAGCCAGGAGGATGAGGCACAGCTGATCCTGGGGATTGACCAGCTAAAGCTAAGCTGAGCTGAGCTGTTGATTCCTCTAAGTAGCTCAGTGGGCATGATGGCCACGTGAGTGGAGGAAGCAAGAGAGCTTGTGTAGGAGGAGGGTGTCCTCCTGGGGCCTTCTCTCTCTGCCCCTGGCAGCGGCAGAAAGAATTAGAATAGGTTTGGACAGGCTTATCCTTAGGCCTTGTTGGGGATCAGGTTCATAGCTGGACCCCGCAGTGGCCCATGTGCGTGTTGCATACCAAGTCGCTTCAGTCGTATCTGACTCTTTTCAACCCTATGGACACCTCTGTCCAGGGATACTCCAGGAAAGAACACTTGGGTTCTTGCCTTGCAGTGGGTTGTCATGCCTTCCTCCAGGGGATCTTCCTGACCCAGGGATTGAACCCATGTCTCCTGTGGCTCTTGCACTGCATGCAGATTCTTTACTGTTGAGCCACCAGGGAAGCTCCCAGTGGCCCACAGGCTTCCAGAAAAGATCAAGTAAGGTAGCAGGAAAGTTCTGTCCAGGACCCTTGAAAGTCAGACCCTGCTCTGTGCTCCATCCTAAGAGAAATCTGCAGGGGCTCCCACCTGCAAGCTGGCCCCTGTGGCCTGCCTGGTCCAGCAACAAGGGGGTGGAACAAAGGGAACCAGATCAAGAAATTTAGATGAACCTGAGGGCTTCCCAGTTGGCGCCAGTGGTAAAGAAGCTGCCTGGCAAAGCCCAAGATGTAAGAGACGATGGTTCAGTCCCTGGGTCGGGAAGATCCCCTGGAGAAGGACATAGCAACTCACTCCAGTATTCTTGCCTGGAGAATTCCATGGACAAAGGAGCCTGGTGGGCTACAGTCCATGGGGTCGCAAAGAGTCAGACAGGACTGAAGTGACTTAGCATACACTGCATGCATATAGATGAACCTGAAATTGGCCACTAAGCTTCTGAGTGACTTGCCTCATCTGTGACCCCCTTCCCTGCCTGTAAGGATGCTAGCGTGGCACAGATGTGAAATGAAAGTGAAAGCAAAAGTTGCTCAGTCGTGTTCAACTCTTTGTGACCCCAAGGACTGACTATATAGACCATGGAATTCTCCAGGCCAGAATGCTGGACTGGGTAGCCATTCCCTTCTCCAGGGGATCTTCCCAACCCAGGGATCCAACCCAAGTCTCCCACAAATGATTCACAAATAAACATACCTGGGGTTGTTCTTGGTAGCAGTGAGAAGAAAATTCCCACTGAGATTGGGGAGGAGGCCTAGGGTTTCTCAGATTCATTCAATACAAAGTGAGGCCAGGGGGCAGGATGGGAGAAGGCCTCAAGGTGCTAATGTGTAGAAAGGGAAAATTATCTTGCTCCTGGTGTTCTAGGTACTATGGCCCCAAGTATATCTCCAGCTCCAGGGCCACTTTAGGACACACACCTTTTGGATCAAGCCAAGTCCTTTGACGTATGTGCAGGACAGGCGCAGTCTGAGTCTCTCTGCTCTGCCTAACTGACCAGGCATCAGTGCTGCTTATTTGGAGCTCTCAGGCAGGCCCAAGGAGACGAAGCTCTTAAAGTCCTACAGACTAACTTTTCTAGCTTGCCGGCAGTTGAGTAATTTTCCAGAAATGGGACTTGGCCAGTTGCCCTGTGTAAGGTACCAGCCCATCCCTCTTACATAAGAAACTATTGTTTGTTCTCCCTGAGGATTTAGGAGGCCAGCTCCTCCATGAGGCAGAGCTCAGGAGATCCTGCAACAGTCAAGGGTCATTGACCCAGTCCAGTGGGAATTAAAGTTCGTCCAGTGAAGACTTGCATCTGTGGGGTCCCAAGGATACTATTCGTGTTCCAAATTCTTTAAGTACTCTTAATATGATCTGTATATGTAGGAAAGGAGGGGGCTTAGGTGAGTGTGGAGAGAAGTTTTTAACTAGAAATATCTGTGATGTGCTTAGTCACTCATTCGTGTCCTACTCTTTATGGCCCCATGGACTATAGCCCGCCAGGCTCTTCTGTCCATGGGGATTCTCCAGGCAAGAATACTGGAGTGAGTAGCCATGCCCTCCTCCAGGGGATCTTCCCAACCCAGGGATCAAATCCAGATCTCTCTCATTGCAGGCAGATTCTTTATGGTCTGAACCACTAGGGAAACCCAAGAATACTGGAGTAGGTATTTACTATCTGGTGTTTTTTTTTGGGGGGGGGTGTTGGGGGGGGGGAGTGTAAGAGAGAGAGAGAATGTGTATGTTACAGATCATTATAAAGAATTTTAAAACCACTCAAAGTGAAAGCTTTTCCTTACCCTCCCTCCCTTCTCCCACAACCTTGGGGTTAACCACTGCTAACAGTTGGTACACATCCTTTCAGATCTTCACGCAAACATATTTCTAAAATAAAAAACAGGACCATACTGTGCATATTACTCTGCAAGCTGCTTTTCCATTTATTATATTATGGGCATCTTTTCATGTCCATACAGAAAGCTCTGACCTCTCTTTGTAACAATAGCATGGTTTTCCAATTTTCCTACCCAGGTCCTCAAGAATGGGCACGTAGATGATTTCCAGTTTGTCTGCTACTATAAATAATCGTACAAAGAATCTGAGTGTCTCTGTCCAGCTATTTCTTTAGGAAAATTCTGAGAAGTGAAATCTCTTTTAACTGGGTCGCACGCAGTGAAAATGCGCAGACATGGTGGAGATGGCCGCTGGGTTCAACCTCCCGCCAGTGGCAAACACATGCAGGGCCCTGTGTTTCCTTTAGTCCATGCCACTGTGGGCCACTTTCTTTCTTCCTCTGCAAGCTAGACATTACCAAGGGCAACCTGAGGCCATACCCCATCCATCCCTATCTGTGCGGTCCTTATTCTTCATCCCCTTCTCCTACACAACCAAAAAAAAAAAAAGTGTCAAAACCTTTCTTAATGTTCCCATCCCAATGAACAGAACTTGAAGCCCTCTTCCTACCCATGATGGGGGCCAAAAAGTTACTGAGACCCAGGCTGTCAGTCCCTCCCATTGTGAGGACAGAATCTTGCTTACCTGAAACACATCTCCATTGACCGTGGTCCCCATGTCCTCAGAACCTGATAGAAACAGAACAAGAAGACAGCATTACTCATTGCTCAGCTTATAATAAGCAGGGTCCTACATTAGCGACTGAGCCAACCTCTCTATATATCCGTGTGTGTGTTCTGACTTCCACATATGCAGACATCATGTACACATAAACAACCTGGGTTCAGTCCTTGACTGTTCATAAAGCCTTCTCATAGCTGTTATCACATCTAATTTTCACCATAGCCTTGTGCTGAAAGGCACAAGATATGTTATCAACCCATTTTACAGATTCTCAAACTGAGGCCCAGAAAGGCTACATGATTGCCCAAGGTCGCCAGCCAGTAATAGCTCCTCACCTACCTGAAATTAATTTCCCCTCAGCCACAGTTAGGAATAGCCTGATTACCTATGGGGCCTATGCCCAGTGAGCCAGCTGAGGAGCTGGAGTCTCAGGGCAGGTCTGTGAGGGCTCAGGAAGAAGGCACTGCGCGTCTCCGCTTCCCTGGGGTGCCTTGAGCAATGGCTTCACCTGGGAGAGCAGGAATCAGCCCCTACCAGGCAGCACCTGGCCTGTTTTCCCTCCTCCTGCCCCTCCCAGAAGGATTTACTGCGGCCCTCACCTCAACAAGGACTCCTCCTGTTCCCTTGCCCTGACACCCGATTAGTCACAAATTCTCGTGACTTCTGCTGCAGCAGGAACCCTTAAAGTTGGGGGTCCCTCTGCCCCCCGCCAGGCCCGCCTGCACAGGTACTAGTGGCAGTGAGCAACTGGAGGGACACACCTGTGTCCAAACCCTCCCCACTGTCTTCCCCAGAGCCGGGTACCATACCTGTGGCTTAGAAAGTGCTCAGAAGCTATTTGTTGAATAGCAAATGAATCAACGCACTAAAGAAAGAAGGACTAAATGGCTTCTGTCCACTCACAGGCCTCCCTGCCTCCATCTTCACCCTCTCCCAAACCTCTTTCACACCAACCGCCATGGCTGATGAAAAGCATACACTTACCTACGTAACTCTTCTAATTAAAAATAAAATGAACACAAACTAAAATGAAAGCCACTTTCTGTGGACCACGGCAGCCCATAGGGTCTGCTCCTTCTTTGGGAACTTGACAGGTGCCGTTCCCTCTCCCTGGAAGGCTCTCCTGCTCCCTCAAGCCTTTCAGCCTCTGCTCAAACACTTCCTTATTAGAGGTCTTCCCTGACCATCCCTGACATTCGTCCTCTGCACCCCACTCCTCCCCTGTACAGTACTTTCTCTGTATCACCTAGCACAGCCTGATACGTTTATTTTTGTGTGTGCTAATTACCTGTCTACCCCACTTGAAAGCCCTCCAGGAGGGCAGGGACTTTGTTTTGTCCATCACTAGGATCCAGCACCTAGAACAGTGCCTGACACACAGATGCCCAATAAATATTTGTTGAATGGATACATTGAACCATAACTCATGAGGATTTTGCAACCTAGCCCTGCCCATTTTCCCTGCCTCACTTCCCACCAGTCCTTCCCACAAACCCTATTCTGGTTTCCACCTTACCCAAACACACTATGCCACATTCCATGCCTTTCTTCCTACTTCCCTCACCAAAGAATGCTCTTGGGAATCCAGTTGTTCTCCAAAGCCCAGTTCACCAGTCACCTCCTCTGGGAAGCCCTCCACAGCTTCCCCTTCTACCCTGAGCACTGATGGAAGCTCTCAACTACTATGGAGGATCCCAAAATACTATATAGCACCCCCCACCCTCTTACATGATTACTGTGACCTCCCATGGGTCATGCATTCCCTTATCAGGCTCTGTATCCCATTCAGCTAGCTCCTATGGGTGAGCAGTCAGTATTGGCTAAACGGAAGCTGAATTGCTCTTTGGGGGCCCGCTGTTGTCTGCATGGCCTGAGGACTCTCAGAAACTGCAATGCCTCTTAGTCAGGAGCCATGGGAGGCTGTACAAGACCACCCCAGATGGACAAGTACACTTCACCAGCCAGATAGAGCCGTGAGTCACAGTGACAGTGCTTCCAACTTGGGGACTAAAGGGAGGGGTCCTTAACCCCATGGAAAAAATCCCCAGCAGATATAAATTCTAATCAATTTTGTTTTCAAACAGTGATGGATTTTAACCAACAGTTGTCAGCCATCCTCCCTGCTTGTTTAGATGGGGTTTCTCCTGCACGGGTGGCCTGGTCCCTAAACCAGTGGCAGCATCTTCTCCAGGGGCATCTCCTCTACCAGGGTCTGAAGTTACCAGGGTCCATTCATGATGCTGGTCTGTGCACTTGGCATTTCTGGAGGGGAAGTTGTGCCCCCTCCCACACTCCACCCTGACCAGACCCCTCAACTGCAGGAGCGGCCAGGGGCCCACCCTGTCCTTCAGGAAGTCTCTGCAACCCAGTCTCTCAGTCCCATGGGTGCTCCCCTTTGGAAATGAGGCTTCAGCCTCCTTGGGAATCCACACACACCCACACACGGAATTACGAGTGTCTGTCCTCACAGAGCTTTCTGACCAGCCCACGGCACGTTAATAATCATGTGTCCGCAGTCCAAAGCCAGCAGAACAGGAGTGAGGCAGATACGAGTCCCAGGGATAAGCTGTGGCTGTGACTTCCCTCAGATCCCTAATCCCCTTTTGGGACGGGGACAGACGGGGTCCAGAACATTTCTGGGAGCTTACTGAGTCCCATCAGGGGAAAATGGGCTTGCCCAGGAAATGACTGGGCAAGTCCAGGGCAGAGCCAGGCAGGGCGCACAGAAATCTGGGTGTGAAAATGTAAACCTCCTGGGCCCTACCCAAGGCTGATGAGTGGAAACGAAGTATCTATTGCTCAGGCTGGCTGCAACTCCAGCCCCAGAGGAGGGACTCAAAGGAGCTCAGGCTCAGGCCTACTGTAAACAGTTTCGCCTGAGGTACACGCACGCATTCATGCTCCGACGTGTCCGACTCTGTGCGACCCCATGGACTGTAGCCAGCCAGACTCCTCTGTCCATGGGATTCTCCAGGAAAGAATACTGGAGTGGGTTGCCATGCACTCCTCCAGGGGATCTTCCCGACCCAGGGATTGAACCCGCATCTCCTGCATTGCAGGAGGATTCTCTAACACTGAGCCATCCAGGAAGTACCCCCTGTCCCCAAAGTCAGGGCACTCAGCACAAGGGCATCATTTAAGGGACAAGACTGAGAAGTGATGAGTAGTGCTGGCTTCAGGAGCTTCCGTCCAGCTTCCAGCAGCCTAAGGCACATTTTTTTGCAACTTATTCAGGCTTCTGGCACTCATCACCGGTCTCCGGGGGATTACTTACTCATCATCATCTAGACCTAGGAGGGTCAGATCAATTCTATCCTATCTGGCCACCTATTGAGCCGAATCCCATAACTCCTCTCAGATCCCTATGCTCCACTCAGCAGGGCAGCTGAGCATTTGCAGCTTTAGTGATTGTGAGTCCAGGAGACCCTCAGAGGGCCATGTCGCTGCTTCTTTCCCTGCCACCTCCGGTCTGGGGCCAACCTGTACCACCCCTGCCGGAGAGGGAACCTCCCACCCAGGCCACAAACCCCTGGAGTCCCACCGTCCTAGGAGAGGTCACAGCCTGTTCAAACCCCAGCCACCTCTGCAGCTCTGTGCCTGACTTCTCCCTGCTTCTCTCCTAGGTGGTTCTGACATGGGCTATCCCAGCAGGGCCTCTCCCATGCCAACCTGACTGGGGAAGCTGGTAGTCTCAAGACGTGGGCCCATATTTTCTAGGAATTCCCTGGGGTGTGTGAGGGTCTGTGCCAAAGTGCTAGAAGCTGCTGCTCCTTCAGAAGACATCCACTGCTGACTTGGTTAGGTAGCAAAAGACCTGCCCCCCCACCTCCACATCCCATCACCTCCCAGGGTGACTGCCACAGCACTTGAAAGAATGTGGAGCCCAGAGTTGAGAGGCCTGGGAACTAGTTTCAGGTCTGTCACTCACGGCTGTGTGACTTTGGGCAAGACACTCAGGCTCTCTGGGCTCCCAGTTTCTTACATGTGACAAAGGGCTTGTTATGTTTCTCACAGGAAGAGGATACAGAGATGCTCAAGCCCCTCAAGTCACAGGAACTGTCTTATTCATATCTGTATCCCCACTGCATCTGGCACACAGTAGGTGCTCAGTAAATGTTGAATGAATACAAATATGACTATAAGGAGCCTTACTTGGAAACATTTTTTTTTAAATATGTAAGCTACCACTTATTCCAACAGGCCCATAAACCCCCACTAAAATGACAACATTAACATGAAACAAGGGCTGTTTTGGAGGCACCCATGAAAATGATAGCTAGTTTTTAACTTTAAGAAATTGTTCTTTTAGGCAGAACTACAGCAGGAACATTGCTGATAAACAAGCTATTGCAAGGACCAGGCCCCAAACCCTGAGCCTGAAGCTAACCCCAATAGCCCTGGACCACCTTTGCAACCACTAAGCTCCAAACCCTCTCCAAACCCAGGAGGGCAGGATCACATCTGACTGAAGCCCTCTGTACCCCTGTCCCCATACTGGTGTCTAACTCAGAGCTTGGCATATGGAAGACAATGTGGCCAGGGGGAGAGGATTCAGAATCTGAGAGAAATTGTTTAGTCCTCACTCTGCCACTTACTAGTTCTTTCAGTAGTGTACATTTTGAGCCTTGGTTCTGCCATCTCTGAAATGGGTTTATAATGCACATGAAATGATAAAATGTTAAGTAAAGTGCCTAGAACAGTGACCGCAGGATGGCAGGTGATCCTCCAGGAAAGTCTGTAAGTTCTTAGAACACCCAAGCCTCCTGCTTTCCCAACTGAAGGAGGGAGCTAAGTCCAAGGTTCAGGGAGGTCTGAGGTCTGAGGTCCTGTGCACACTCCCAGGGCTCAGCCCGGGGCAGCCAGCCTACTGGGAAGCTCGAGGCTGGGCTGCGTTGGATTCCAGAGACAGGCAGTGGTGGAGCTGGCTTGGGAATGAAATGTCATGACGAATTTCTATGCCGGGAGCCACCAGATCCTCAGCCCCAGGCGGGGCCTCAGATGGGGAAGGCTACAAGATCCCCCTCCCATTTCCTTCTCCAGGTCCCCCTCAGGTACACACACAGCCCCAGGCCTGCTGCTGGCCGGCCACAGCAGGCCTTCTTCGCTCTACCGCAGGGCCCGGAGGCCGAGGACCCCGGGTGCGAGCCCCAGATCCCACCCCCCCCCAACCCCCAGTCCCAGGCCACCGCGCTGACTCACCCCCACTCGCGGGTCCCGGCTGCGCGAGGCCCCCCTGGCTGCCGGCAGGTGCCCCGAAGCCCTCGTCATTCTCAATGCCCGCAATCTCACTCTCCTGCTGGGCCAGGAAGGCAGCCGCCGGGTCCTCCTCGGCCGCTTCGGGGGCCCCGCTCTCCGACGACGAGAAGAAGCCAAAGTCATCAGCCATTTTCCCCGCGTCTCCGCCGAAGCGTCCGTCTGGTGCTCGGCTCTGCCCGGCGCGTGCCCCGCGCTGCGCCCGGCGGCCACGGCACTGTCACCCGAGCACCCCGGGGGGAGCCGCTCGGCCTCGGCGGGGACGGGCTCGGCGCGGCGGCCCCACACTTCCTCTCCGCCACCGGGCCCGGCTCGCCTGTCACTGCGGCTGCAAGGCGGGAGGAGCCGGGACGGGAATGCGGTGATGTCACCGGCCGAGGGAGGAGGCCCGCAGGACGGCCGGAGGTCGCCTCGCAGCGGCCACAGGAGGGCGGCAGCAGGACGGCGGCGCAGCCCGAGGGGCCGGGGCCGCGCTCCCGGCTCGCGGCCACCAGCGCGCGTTTCCAGGACACAGGACTGGCGCAGCTCCTGCCGCGTCCTGAGGCGAAGCAGACGGGACCAAGGGACCATCGCGCGTACAGGGTCACTGCAGATTGGCAGCCTGGATCTCAGGAGCACCGAGGGGGTGGTCGCTGCGCAACATGGCTCCTCCTGATTCATTCTGCACAAGTTTCTTCTCCAAGGCTCGGCGGGTGTTATGAAACCCCGTTATCAGGAGCCTTGGAGAGGTAACATTGAGACCCACCGCTTTATTGCATCCTTCTTGCAAGTCCAGGGTCTTCCCCACAAGGCCATGTTGTTTCCGTACATTTCTTACGTATTTCCCTTCATTTGGAGGCTTCAGCTCAGGCCACCAGAGTTTATGTGACCTGAGGGGTCTCTACTTGGAGGCTGGGTCCCTTCAATGTCCCTTGCTTCCCTGGTTGCTCAGACGGTAAAGAATCTGTCTGCAAATTCAGGAGACCAGGGTTCGATCCCTGGGTGGAGAAGATCCCCTGGAGAAGGAATCCTCTCCAGTATTCTTGCCTGGAGAATTCCCTGGACAGAGGACCCTGGCGGGCTACAGTCCATAGTGTCGCAAAGAGTCAGACACGACTGAAGTGACTTAGCAGTAGCAGCAAGTATGAACCAGATTGAGAAAGGCAAACCTAGTTTATCCAGGCAGTTTACCACTCCTCCACTCAGTCACCCTGAGTAAACAGACTTCAAAACATAGTAAAACCCAAGCTCTGGCCATGGGGAGATTACAATCTAGGAGACCAACAAATGGGAAATGGTCAGACATTTCCTCGGAGTTATAGGTGCTCTGACATTTAAACACAGGCTTGGGGGGTGGGAAGGGGAGGAGGGGGAAAGAAGAGGAAAGGTGGGATGGGGAGGAAGAACCACCATCGGATCTTTAGGCTTTTCTCTTTCTGATTTGAAACTTGAAGGTCAAAAAAGAAAGGAAAGATGAGCCCCAAAGAGTGGGTTCCCATAGTGGGTGGGTAGTGGAAGCAAGGTTAAACTGAAGGGCAATCTCAGTTTTTCACAGTAATACTTTGATGTAGTTTCACTCTTATGATGAAAATATAATCATTTATCAGTAGTGTGGAACAGAAACAAGCTTCAGGCCCTGCACAACCTGGTGCAAGCTCAGCACTCCACCATCACTCATCTCACTCCTCTTCCTCATTACCCCAGCTGCAGCCTCAGGTGCTGAAAAGAGCTGAAAAGTTGCCTAGTTTAACAAACCAGCCTTAAATGTCAACTCCAGGCTTTGTAGAGACAGAAGGACTACTGAACACACTATGCGCCCTTTGTGATCACCCATGGATGTACTTACTTGGTTCCTGGAGACTTCAATGCCTCTGCGGGCACTCTTCCCAACTAGTTCCTCCTTCCTTCCTGCTCCTTCCTAATGTAGCCGTCAGCAAAATTAATTACATGCTTAACTGATACAAGTTACTGGATGAAGCACAAGCTGGAATCAAGATTGCCAGGAGAAATATCAATAATCTCAGATATGCAGATGACACCACCCTTATGGCAGGAAGTGAAGAAGAACTAAAGAGCCTCTTGATGAAAGTAAAAGAGGAGAGTGAAAAAGTTGGCTTAAAACTCAACATTCAGAAAACTAAGATCATGGCATCTGGTCCCATCACTTCATGGCAAATAGATGGGGAAACAGTGGAAAGAGTGACAGACTTTCCCACTGCAGATGGTGACTGCAGCCATGAAATTAAAAAGATGCTTGCTCCTTGGAAGAAAAATTATGACCAACCTAGACAGCATATTCAAAAGCAGAGACATTACTTTGCCAACAAAGGCCCGTCTAGTCAAAGCTATGGTTTTTCCAGTAGTCATATATGGATGTGAGATTTGGACTATAAAGAAAGCTGAGCACCGAAGAATTGATGCTTTTGAACTGTGGTGTTGGAGAAGACTCTTGAGAGTCCCTTTGACTGCAAGGAGCTCCAACCACTCCATCCTAAAAGAAATCAGTCCTGAATATCCATTGGAAGGACTGATGCTGAAGCTGAAACTCCAGTACTTTGACCACCTGATGTGAAGAACTGACTCATTTGAAAAGACCCTGATGCTGGGAAAAATTGAAGGCAGGAGAAGAAGGGGATGTCAGAGGATAAGATGGTTGGATGGCATCACCAACTCAGTGGACATGAGTTTGAGTAAATTCTGGGAATTGGCAATGGACAGGGAGGCCTGGCATGCTGCTGCCCATGGGATCGCAAAGAGTCAGACACGACTGAGCAACTGAACTGAACTGGTCCAGATCATTCTGCAGCCATGCTTGATCCTATGTTAATACATGACTCTTGTTCTTAAGCATGAATATTAAAAATTATCATTAAAGTCTGAACTATGTCATGTAGCACTTTGTGCTGGAGATCCTCAGTTTCTTGACACCTCCCTAAAAATCTTTGTTAATTTCTTAGTCGTTTCTGACTCTTTGTGACCCCATGAACTATAACCTGCCAGGCTCCTCTGTCCTGGGATTCTCCATGCAAGAATATTGGAGTGGGTTGCCACTTCCTTCTCAGGGGACTACATATCTTTGGAGATCTCTAAATACAGTTCTGGTCTTCTAATTCTCCACTTAATTATGAAACTCAGCAATGGTCAAAAGACATCAGTTGAGTAAAGATATGAGGCAATCTCACAGAATCTAAATTGCAACTTACAAATTCTGAAGTGGAGATATTTTTTAAATGTTTTTAATGGAAAGTTTCAAGCATGCAGAAGAGTAGAAAGACTAATTTAATACAACTACACATACCAACACCTGAACATCAATATTACCAATACATAGTCAGTCCTGTTTCATCCAACCTTTATTCCTTCCCATGTATTATATAATTTCATCAGTAAATCATAACTTTTTTCTAAAATCTTGTGGTAAAAAACACATAAATTTACAATCTTTACCATTTTAAGTGTACAGTTCAGTAGTGTTAAGTATATTCACATGGTTGTACAACTGACATCCAGAACTTTTTCATCTTACAAAACAAACTCTATACCCATTACACAAGTCCTCACTTTTCCCTCATCAAAGCCCCGGCAACCATCAGTATACTTTCTGTTAATATGAATTGACTGGTTTAGATAGCTCACAAAGGTGAAATTATAGAGTTTTGTATCCTTATTTCACTTAGTATAATGTTCTTAAAGTTCATCATGTTCTGACAGATGTAGCATGGGTCAGAATTTTCTTCCTTTTTAAGACTAAATAATATTCTGTCATAAGATATATATATTGCATTTTCTTCATCCATCTGTCCATGGACATTTGGATTGCTTCCACCTTAGTTACTATGAGTAATGCTGTTGTTAACACAGATGTACAAATATGTCTTTGTGATCCTGCTTTCTGTTCTTTTAGATATATACCCGGGAATGGAATTGCTGGATTCTACGGTAATTCTATTTTCAGTTTTTTAAAGAATCGCCATACTGGTTTCCAGAGCTACTGAACCATTTTACATTCCCACTAATAAACTCCTTTTTTTTTGATTGGTTGATTTCACTTTGAAAGTTTGTTTTTTTTTCCTTCATTTTTTCAAGTTTTTATTTTGACATATTCCAACTTACAGGAAATTATAAATAATTCCCATAGGCTTTTCATCATTCTCACCAGATTCCCTAAATTATAACATTTTATCACCTTGGCTTTATTCTTTTTTTCTTCTCTTTCTCCTAAACTACTGGAGAGTAAGTTGCACACACCATGACCCTTCATCCCTAGATATTTCACTTCATGTTTTCCTAAAAATAAGGACACTCATTTACATCACCACTATACAATTATCAAAATCAGTGTATTAATTTTGATATAATACCATTATCAAATTGACATAACTTACTCAGATTTCACCAAATGTCCCAATAATATAGTGTGTTTAGGTATTCCACTCAGTTACCTTCTCTGTTTGATTTCCTTCAGTCTGGAATAGCTCCTCTCTTTCTCTGTCATGAAGATGGCGTCTTGAAGATTACTAGTCAGTTATTTTGTCCTTCAATTTGAGTTGTCTTTGTTTCCTCCTGGTTAGATTCAGTTTAAACATTTTTGGCAGGAATAATAGGATTCAGGCATTAGAATGATAGTTGACAAATGCTAATCTTCTAGTTCTATTTCCATATACATTTATTAGTTTTCTTTCTACCATAGTGTTTGTTCTGTCTGCAAGACTCAGATTCATTTGATCCAAGTGAATTGTATTAGTAGTGCTTTGCTATCATTATTTATTTTAGTGCTCAAATTGCCCAAGATTGGGTCAGTAGGAGCCCCTTTGAGCTGGCTCCTGTGTTTCTAATGTGTGTGTGTGTGTGTGTGTATTGTGAGTCATGTCCGACTCTTTGCAAGTCCATTAGGTGCCTCTGTCCATGGGATAGTCCCAGCAAGAATTCCCAGTTCCTCTTCCAGGATATCTTCCCAACCCAGGAATCAAAACTGCATCTCCTATGTCTGCATCATTCTTTGAGCACTTTCTCATTTTCTGGCACAACGAAATATTTCAGGCTTAAGAATAAGTCATTTCTCCATCATCAAAAAGTCTATAAATAATAAATGCTAGGGAGGGTGTGGTGAAAAGGAAATCTGCATAGACTGTTAGTGGGGATATAAGTTGGTGC